CTGAGGGTCCGTCAGCTTTGAATCCCAGATTGTGTTGGTGTTGTTTTTCCAGCTCATCCGGTACCGGAGGTCAGGTCGGTCCAGTAGCTTTTAGCAGCTCGTTGCGTTTGGTCTGTTGGTGTGTTTCTAACAAGCAGAGCTCACACTACAGCTGCTTGGTTAAATAATTCATGGATCATGAATTATTTTATGATCCATGACTCTAATGATGCCTGTTTTCTTTGCAGCGTCGTTCTCCAGCCTGAAGATGGAGCTAGAGAGGGTTAAAGCAGAGAAGGACAAGGTGAGGTTCCCTCAGTCTCTCTGTGTTAATGTGTTCATCTGTACATCCATCTATCTGTGACGTGTGGTCAGGGGAGGCAGAGCCATCATGGAAAAATAATATATAATGATAAAATAATTTATATTGCTACTTTCACCTTGTGGTTTGTACTATAAAGTACTTGCTTTTTATTTAGCTTAACCAATTCTGATTATTTTTTCTCAAAAATTGCAGGATTTTTGCGTTTTCCCATTCCAATGCTCAGAAGCACAGCTGGTGATGTAGCACCAAGCTGAGCCTCATCTGGGATTGATCAATTTCTCACTAAGTGCATTTGGCTACTTTTCTATGGGAGCATGCGCCTCCTGTCTGTACGTCGCCAATAAAATGGCTAAAAAACATTTAATGTCTGAATCTACTTTCCATTATTTAGCTTATGTGTATAATGTACAGCGTTTCATGTCACCAGCTGTGTATTTAACGCGTTTCGTGTGCTGAGGAACGATCAGAAAAGGCAGAGAACACATTCAAGGAGAGACAGGCAGTTCTCTTGCCTCATGGCAGGGGGCGCTCATGATCCCAGACATTGTGACTTCACAACTGCAAAATAAGACACAGCGACAGCAAGAAAGCCATGGAGCTAGCCATGCAGTTAAAGTGCAGCGATATATTTTAGTTTTCTCTTATCACAGCAATCACTTATTAATAATCACAAAATAAACATTAAGCCTAAAACCATACAACTGCAACAAACTGAATGTTCTGCTTTTTGTGTGGGAAATATTTGAATTATTATTTTTTTTTTGTGGAGTTGTTGTAGGTTGCTGTGGCAACGAGTCTGTGCGTACCTGCGCTGATACAGAGAGTGAGAAAGAAGTGGTGTTTATATTTGCTGTGGAGCACAGCACGAAGTCAATAATATTGATTACATAATCATTATGTAACCAATAACATGCAGGGGGTCTATATTTGTAAACATGATAATGATTAAATCAGTGCCTCACCAACTACTAACCTCACCACACGTCACTGATATCTGTCCGTCCGTCCGTCCAAGTTTGTAATATTGATGTTTTAAATGTGCAGTAAGGCTGCACAACTAATTGGGCCAGTTGTGTCCTCCTGACCCTCTGATGTCATCGTGTTTGTTTTTGCAGCTGCAGAGCTGTTTAGCTGAGAAGACTGAGACGCTGGACAGCCTCCAGGCCGTGAAGATAAGCCTGGAGCAGCAGTTCAGAGAAGTCGCCACTGCAAAGGTTTGTGCTGCTGTTACATCCAACTCATGACATGTTGGGGAGGGAATCTGTCAGTAATTGAACAAACTGAATATTCCTAATGAAACTGATGAAATATGAAGTCTTTTGTGTTTTTTTTCCATGTCTTCTGTGTGCCTACCATAGAGTGTGTTAGAAAGTCAAGTTCTGGACGAGAGAGACAAAGCCCAGCGGCTGCAGACTGAGCTGGACGTTAGTGAGCAGGTCCAGAAGGACTTTGTCAAGCTTTCTCAGACACTTCAGGTAACCAGAGACTGTTTAGTTCATGTTTTGGTCCTGACACATGCACCAGTTTATCTGTTAGTGAGTTTTCAGATCTCTCCCCCCACTTCTTCACTGAATCTCACATTGTTTTCTTGAAGCGCCTAGGAACCATGATCCAGACGGGAATGATGTAATCAGAATTGGCGTTTGTTTTTGTACGCAGGTCCAGCTCGAGCGAATACGACAGGCGGAGTCTTTGGATCGGATCAAAGTGATCCTGAACGACACCAACCTGACCGACATCAACCAGCTTCCAGAGACATGATGGCCTCAGACCAGAGACTGGTTTCAGTTGGGTCTCCCCCTCCGCCCCTCCTGCCAACCCGCTAACGTTATTATCCTAGCCGTAACCACACTGGAAGAGTTTGGAATGACAGGAAATCCCGGCTGTCTACGTACATTTCAAGCTTCGAATGGAATAATGAAGAAGAACACTACTAAAACATGTAAATAACTTAATGTGTGACTGTGGATTGAGAGGCTGGAAGCCCCTCTCTGTGCGATGGGGGTCTGCCTGTGTCATGTTTCTACTGTAGATACGACTGTCTGTATTAGCTCAACCAAAAACAAAAGTTTGTCAACCTCTAATGCACTTTTCATCTCTCCGTCTCCCTCTGTGCTCAAGGCGTTTGGTAATCACTTCTTTAATCCACTCACTTGTCACTCTTTGGTCTTTTTCTCTGTCCCCTCCAAAACAAATAATGAAGGATGAGAAATACTCGCACAAACTTTAACTGGGATAAAAGGATCATAATGCAACCAATAGCTTCTATTTCCTTAAGGATTTCCTGTTTTCGGTGCTCATATTGTCTCAAAGTGTTTCATCATTAAGAGCTTAAGTGGAACATTTTCATCTGAATCTGAATTTGCAGGCTTTAGTTTTCTCCCTGACAGTCAGAAAACACTATTTAACTCCAGGAACACTCAGAGAAGGAAAAAAGACAATGAGACATCAAAATAGAATGGCATGGATTTTAATTTGCTTCTGTTTATGGTTTCCTTTTTTCAGGTATTTCTTGACCTGATGATCTTAATGTCTTTTTGAAGATCTTATTTGTTAGTGGACAGAAGAAGTGGATTCTTAATGAGCTGTTTTCTCTCCTCCTCCTCTTCTCCCCCCTCTGGCTGCTTGTCTTCACTAAACTGTCATGAAATGGTTCGTCTGTCACTACAAGAACTTCTGTTGTCTGTGAACTGATTTGAATTAAATGACCTCAAAAGTTTCAGAGTTCATTCCTATGTGGAATAACGGGTTCCTATTCATTTAGAAAAACCAGAAAAATACAAATTGAGCATCAACCATCTTATTTATGATAATCAAGGTGAGAACTTTGGATGTGTGGGTTTTGTTTTCATAAAATTAACTCAATACTCACCTGCTTATCAGCTCACACTGCAGCAAACTTAGAAGTAAAAGTCTTATAATAACACATTTAAAGGTGGAGGGGGTTGTAAAGGTGGATTTCCTTTCATTTTGTTCCTAGTTTTGTCTCAGCTTGACTGATATCAGAGCATGGTTCGACGTCACACCAGAGGGAGCAGCATTCCGGTCCACAAACATTGTTCGCAGTACCTCTTCGTTTTAAATGTTACTTTTCAGAAATAAACTTGTAATATTTATTTTAGACACAGTGTTACACGTGTGTCTTATGAAATGCACGTTTCCACCAGAGCTCGCTACTGGTGACAAGCTGCCATATTGAAATGCAAAGTCAGAGTTGAGCCCACTTTCCCAGTGGAAAATCCAACTTCGGAAAGCATTCTAGTTCTTTTTTTTTTGGCTGGTAAATTGCAATTTCCCAGTTATGACTACAACGGGAACACAGGATTAATAATGGAGAAGTTATTAAAAAGAAAAATAAATAAAGGTTAATTATGTGTTAAAGCATTAGGTAAGAGTCCCCTTGGTACATGTTTAAGTGTATTCACATATTTATTGGGCCATTTATATATTTCTGATTTTATCATTTATTGTGTCAGTTTCTATCCTCCATTCCATACTTCGTCAATTATCAAAGTAGGCCTCGTTGATGTCATGATAACCTGTCTTTGTAGGAGGTTCAACCATTTGGATTGATAGTATGTTGAGTGTATGAATCACTTTATGAAATAACTGGCCAACTGGATTTTTTTTTCTTTTCTAAGTTTGGTATTTTTCTTTACACTTTGGAAAGAAGCAAGAAAAACAGATATCTAGATCTTATTAGTTTATAATTCCTTTATTATGAAGAGCCCAATGTCATTTATTGGCCTCTTAATTCTCACATTTTCTTGTCTGATTGAGCAGGGTGGATGTAGAGCAGATGCATATTTCTAGGAAGAGGAGCATGACTGAAGTTTAGTCGTCAAGCCCAAGAGACTCTGTGATGAACAGATCCACTATAAAATGTAATTTAAAGGTCCAGTTGACAGTGTTCAAAGTAGGACCCGGGGGCCATTTGTGGCCCCTGAAGTGACTTTGTGCTTCCCACAGAAATGGGACCAATCTCTGACATTTACCTTAAAATGTACTTAGAAAAATGTTAGATGGAACTCAAAGTGATCCTCTTTTTCAAGCCCTCTGGTTTCATTCTGTTTTCGTGGGAAACAGAACAATATGTTGGTGCAGTAAAATCTGCCTTTAGTTGCTGCATTCAAGCTTTGACAAACACATCAAGTGTTTTAAAGTGAAGACTAACAGGTTCTGTTTTACTGATCAGAACAGACAAAACATAATTTAGTTTTCTTCAATGGAGGCTCTCATAATAAGCAAACTAAGCTATTTATTTTCTAGCTTTCGTAAATATTAACATGGTAGCCCAAAGGTTCTGAAGATATTTGACATTTTGTTTTCAGCAGATTAAAGGTTGAACAAGCTGTCTATTTGACAAATATTCAGATGTATTTTGGACTGAAGATCTTGCAGTTGGGGTCACAGGGTGGGCCACAAGTTTCCATACACAGAAATAAATAAACATTTTATATTGGACAACTGTTTTCATTGTTGTGGAATCTCTGCACTTCATGGTTGATCTGCAACAGTTTCAGTTTCCTGAAACTTGCTAATAAATTTTGCCACAGTGTCACGTGTGAGGCTCGGTCCATGTTTTCTGTTCAAGTTTCGTGCAGCCTTGTGATCCAGCCATCAGTATGATTTGAATGATTTATTACGTTGCTTTGAAAGTGGTGAACTGTCCCTTTAACAAACTGCCTGCTCGGAAGCTAGCAGTCGGAAGCTAACTTCATCGTCGTGGCCGAGGAGCTACTCCTACTTACAACATAATGGAGCCCAGATGGACGAAGAACGTTTGCAGGGCTGTTTTATGGTCTGGGTGTTTGCTGTGCGTTATATTTGGTGAGTGTTAAACCTTAAAACTGATTTAAAATGCCGTTAATCAGAGTTAACTGTTTCTGGTATAAATCAGGCTCGTGATGTTGTCGTTGCTCCTCCAGCTCCTGAAACGACTTTGTTTAGTCTTCTGACACTGCTGGTCGCTGTGTACTTAAAAAAATAAAATAAAAATGAATTATTTACTTTAAAAAGCTAACAAATCTTGCTTTGTCTTAAGACATTTACAATAGAAAATAGACTAAAAAACATTTAATCATTATTTGTTGTTTTTTTTCCACTGCTGTTTGAGAAATGTTTCTTGCAATCAGATTAAGTTTCTGAAAGTTTTTGTTCACTAACCATAACTTTAAGCCTATAGAGTTTGTAAAAACCTGGCCGGTACGTTTTCAGACTTTTTCCTCTTGTGTGATGAACTCTTCCTCCAGTGTCTCCCTGGTAACCGCCCGCTGTGTTGCCATGGTTTTTTGCTTCCTTCACGTGCAGTCAGTCGCCGGACACGCTGACTCTGCAGTGATGGTGCTGAACGGCACTGCGGCAGTCCTGCGTTGCACCTTCGACTCCAGTGAAGTGGTGAGCAAAGCCAGCAGTGGGAGCTGGAGGTTCCGGTCCAGTCAGCCTGACAGTCAGAACCACTCAGCTCCACAGTGGTGAGTCCCAGCTGCTGCATGTTTACACCACAAAGCCGCATGTAAACTTTGGTGTGCAGCGACAGAGTCAGTCCAAGAATTTGGCAACAAAATGTTTCAAATGTCTGACCATGTTTATGCGTGCATATACCTTTGCACATATGCATACATAGAAGTGTTACCCCTGCCTCTATAAAAATGTAATAAATATAAAAGTAATCGATTGCTAAGTATGTGTGAGTTGGAAATGATTCGATTTAATAATTTGGTGGAACATAATTCATGGCGTGGTTTTAACCAGGTCTGCACCATTTAAATATATATTTTACATTTTGACGATTGTTCAACAACATAAAGAAAAAAATGTGACTTTCTTCAGTCTTTTTCATTGATTATTAATTTTTTGTAGCTGCAGCTGCAGCCATGCAGGCGGGTGACAAACTTTTCAGCGATATTAACGGGGAGCATCTCTTTGATGATTATTAACCCAATGGAATTTATTTCACTCAATTTGATTTAAAATGTCATGCAATTAATTTATTCCTGCTTCTCAAAAGTCTTCAGTCTGGTGCTCCTGCCTCACCTTGCTGTTTTTTGAAGGACATTTTTGTTTACAGAGACTTCATGATTTATTTCATTGGTTGTTTCTGTTTTTTTGTTTATTTATTTTGGATATTTAAAATGTTTGCGACAGCCTGGTGACCTGTCCAGGGTGACCCCGCCTCTAGCCCGAAATATTAGCTGGAGAGGCACCGACAATTCCCGACCCCACTTGATACAAGAGTGTTAGAAAATAGATGGACGGAAGGACGGACGGATGGATCTTTGAGAATGTGTTCTTGTATTTTTATGCCTTTGCCAATATATTACTTGAAAATGGTCTCAAAACAACAATATTGTCGTTTGTCGCAAAAAACTTCTGGGACAATTTAGCAAAATTTGATATTGTGACAGGCCTACTGACTGATCGATTAAGATGTGAGAAAATGTGGACAATGGGTGAATATCTTTGCACAACGGGGGAGTCACACAATTTTCTTGAAGCCCTTTAGAGCTGTAATGCAGATAGAAATGATGAAATCAGAATCGCCGCTTGTTTTTCGCCCGCAGGTCCAGCTGGAGCGAATACGGCAGGCAGAGTCCCTGGATTGGATCAAAGTGATCCTGAATGACACCAACCTGACCGACATCAGCCAGCTTCCAGAGACATGACGGCCTCACACTGGTTTCAGTGTGAGGCCGTCTAACATTATTATCGACCCGCAACCAAGAATTTGGAAGTACAGGAAATCAACAAATCAATCTGTCAATGCACTCGATGTAACAAATTTCCTCGTTAAGTTACAAACACGTTTCCTTACAAGACTTACTCTATGCAAGTGTAAAGGGAGCAGGGAGAAGAAAAGTCTCACAGAAACCTGTCCCTTTTTCAATAGTTACAGAATGCATTGTTCATGGCTGCATGCATTCAATTATAACAATATGAGTTGCATGCAATATATCATTCTCCTCATTTTTAACTCAAAAGTGTATACAACCTTTTTTATTATAAAGTGTTTGGAATTCACTTAAAATAAAGCATTTTTCAGCTGCTTATCCAAACTATTTCCTACTTTTACTCCATTCATCAAAATGCACATTTTGTGAAAAAAAGTAAAACAGTATTACACAGTTTTACTTTTGAAATCCTTCTGTCATTTCTGTCATCTGAGCTTAAGATGAAAAGTTCTTGTAAATTAATTGGTAATAATCAATTTTTAGCTTGAAACATAATTAATGGAATCTTTTTGATTGAATAATCTATTTATTAGTATGTTCTCTAGCCAGGGCCAGCCCAAGGCAAAAGCAGCTGCTAAGCAGTTACTTAGGGTCAATGGCCACTAGGGGGCCCCCTTAGTGGAGCTATTTTTTTTTCTTTTCTTTTTTGTGATGATTTCTTTGTTGTCAACAACAACAACAAAAAAAAACACACAATTTCCACATACAGTTGTTAATTTGTATTTCAATTATATAAATTTGATCCTGTAGGAATACCTTTTTAAATAGGCAAAGAGAAAAAAATAAATTATCTATGACTACAACTGGAACGCAGGACGAATAATGGAGAATCTATTGTCATTTTATTAGTTTTGAATTGGTAGATTGTTTTGTTCTGCTTGTGGTTTTGGTGGAATAGAATAGAAATGTATGTTATTGTCTCAGTGGAAAAATCCAGGTGTGCAGGCTGCGAGGTCAAGGTGAATGGAAGCTGACAGGTTCACAAAGTCTAAGGTGTTTGACTTTATCACACCCATACTGTGGACCAAAACTGACATAATTAAAAGTAAAAGTACATTTAAAATTTTCTTTTTCCATTTACTCTTACTTATTTATCTATTTGATTTCCTCAAAGACTTTTGGTTGTATTTTATTTTAAAACAATAAAATGTGCATTATGTGCTCAAATAGATGTATTAAAGCATTAAGTAAAATTCTCCTTTAAAAAAAAAAATATCTGGCACATTTTAAGTGTATTGACATATTTATTGGTCCGTTTAGCCCTGCGATGGACTGGTGACATGTCCAGGGTGTAAACAGCCTCTCACCCATTTGACAACAAGAGAGGCACCAGCTGACCATTGGGTCAGCAGCACCCCACCTGATACCTCTGGTATTTAATTCTTTATTTTTTTACGCTTTAAAAAGAAGCAATAAAAACAGATATTATGTGGAAACGATTAGTTGATAATTGCTTTATTTTGAAGAGCCCAGCATGAGTTATTGGCTCGTAAATATTGATATTCTCATTCTGCAGAGTGGATCAAGATTAGCTGCGTCTTTCCGGGGATCCTGCAGGGGGCGACAAACAGTCAGAGGGAGAAATGAATCTGCTCTACGAAGAAGGTGGGGAGACAAAAAAAAAAGGAGAGGAACATGACTGTGAAGTTGGCCTGTGATTCCTTGTTGAGGAAAGAGATGTTACAATTTTTTTTGTCAGTAGAACCTGAAGCGCTCAGATCCACTTCAAATATGTAATTTAAAGATCAAGTTGACCCCATATGTTAGAAGAAGAGTGTTAAAAGTAGGGCCTTGTGTGCCTAAGGACAAACTACAAATGTTAACTTAAAATGTACTGAGAAAAATGTTAGATGCAACACAAAGGGATCATCTTCTCCAAGGTTTCTGGTTTCTTTCTGCTTTCATGGTAAATAGACAACATCTATTGACTTGCATCTCAAGTACATGTGGGTGCAGTCACATCTGCTGCATTAACACTTTGGCAAACACACCAAGCGTTTTAAAGTGAAGAGCAACACAGATTGTGTTTCTATTGATGAGAACAGACAAAAAATGTTTTTCAGTTTTCTCAACTCGACCCCCCAATAATAAGCAAACTATACTATTTATTTCCTAGCTTTGGTAAATACTATGAAAGCCCAAAGGTTCCCAAAATATATTATATTTTATTTTTAGCAGATAGTGTAAAGGTTGAACAAGCTGGGTCTAAAATGATCTGCACTTTTATAATAGTCGAGTGCAGATCTGACATATGTCTGGGTTTATTTTGGACTGAAGCTGATTTAAAGCAGTAGTTCTTAAAGCTGGGGTCACAAATACAGTATTGCAGTTCTCTCCAGAAACGAACGACTATACACATATGCAAGTTATGAGTACTTTGTGAGATTTAAACATAAACAGGAATTGAAAAAAAATAGTTGATGAATATATTGACTCGGTAAAAATGCCTGAAGATTGAGTCAAGACATGGCGTTAATAGCCTCTTTAATTTTTATTTTGTGGTTCAGATGCTAAAAAGAAAAAGGAAAACCTTTAATCTAAGCGTTGCTTTGAAAGTGGTGAACTGTCCCTTTAACAAACGGCCTGCTCGGAAGCTAGCAGTCGGAAGCTAACTTCATCGTCGTGGCCGAGGAGCTACTCCTATTTACAACAACATAATGGAGCCCAGATGGACGAAGAACGTTTGCAGGGCTGTTTTATGGTCTGGGTGTTTGCTGTGCGTTATGTTTGGTGAGTGTTAAACCTTAAAACTAATTTAAAACCCCGTTCCGTGGCGCCTGAATAAGCGTTAACTGATTTTCTTTTCTGTGATAAATCACGCTCGCGAGCCCTGCGATGTTATCATCGTTGTTCCCCCAGCCCCAGTCCTCCGCATTAAAACGACTTTATTTAGTCTTACTGTAACAGCCGATGATATTTAAACACACCGGAGCTGGATTTGTTGCCTATTTATCTCTATCCCACTGTCACAAGCTGGTCGCCTTGACGTTATAGATGACAAGGTTTAAATTGACTGAAAACTGAATAGAGTCCGGTGGCAGACGATGGCTGCCGCCCTGTTCGCGGCTTCCTCTGAACGATAAAGAACGACTCAGGTCAGATTCAACCACTGACTGGTTCGGTAGTTTACATGTTTTAAAATCTCTTCTAACTAATAAAACATCTGTTCATATAAACTATTTTGTAATTCAACAGGGGCTTCGTGTCAGCCGTGTTTACCTACGTGTCACCCAGTGGGGGGAAAAAAGCCATTTAATGTAAATTTCAGCGAAGATGCTTTTATTTACAGTATTTTAAATAAACTATCTTGTGCTTCACTCAGTAGCTGCGGCTTGTTTTTTTTTTTACTGCAGCACCACATCAACCATGTTGGTGCAAACCACAAGATAAAATAGATTTTCATCATATCCTTTCACACATGTTGAGGTGTTATAATGTCGTCTTTGTCAACACGTCTGAAGATCTGGAGCATAATCGCTTAAAACATTGTGGTACAGCAATTGCAAATGTATAAAACTAAAATCTCAAGGTACTGTTTGTTTGCAAATCTGAAGACAGGTGTAGTTGGATTAAGCGTGATGTTTGCACTACTTATTCAGTGTATGTTACACAACATTCCATCTCAAGACACTTTACAAAAAATAGTCCATTTATTTTAATCTCAGCTTTTCCTCTTCATCCTAGTTATCAAACTAGCTTCAATGAAGAGTGGAAAACTGAGAAAGTTAAAAGTTGAAATACCTGCACCTAACGTAAACTGGAGAGTTGGGGTGCAGATTAGTTTAGAGAAGAATTATTCCATTGTTATTTTTTTTCTGATGATTAATCAATTAATTAGATGATGAATGCTTTATAATCTGTAGCAGCTAAAACATACTTCCAACAACAACTCAGCTCTTACAGTTGGACTTAACATGAAAAAGATGTGATTATCTACATTCATCTGTCAATTATTTTTTTTAGATTAATAGATATTTTTGACAAAATTTGATCTGTGTATTTAGATAAAAAAATTATCCTAAATGCAAAATATATGTATATTTTGTTCTGGGTGTGGTTTCCTTTCAGTAAATAGTCTTTTTTAGTCTATTCTCCAGTTAGGGATTAATCAATTACCTGACAAGTTGACAATTATTTCAATAATCATTTAGTCCCATTAGTCATTTCCAGGTCCTAATTTCATTTAACTCAACATGCAGCTATGATGCCAAAACTGTGTGAAAATCTAAGTACCTCCCACGATTCAACAACTTGTAAACCCGGCTTTGGAAATAACATGTGATGTGGAGTGAGTGTAGGTTGCTTCAGTTTTGTAAGGATTTTTCCGCATTTCAATCAAGTGGTGGCCTTGACACACACACACACACACACACACACACACACACACACACACACACACACACACACACATATATATATATAGATAGATAGATAGATAGATAGATAGATAGATAGATAGATAGATAGATAGATATACAGATATACATATCTATCTATCTATATCTATATATATATATAGATATAGATCTATCTATATCTATATATATATATAGATATAGATAGATAGATATATCTGTATATATCTATCTATATCTATATATATATATAGATATAGATAGATAGATATATCTGTATATCTATCTATCTATCTATCTATCTATCTATCTATCTATCTATCTATCTATCTATCTATCTATCTATCTATCTATCTATCTATCTATCTATCTATCTATCTATCTATCTATCTATCTATCTATCTATCTATCTATATATATATATATAAATACAACTTATTTTGATTGAATTCTAGTACAGAAAATGTGTTGGCATTCTATAAAAAAAATCAATTTAGTTCACATTCTCTGGTTTTAAAATAAAGAAAAATGTAAAATCTCTTCAATAGGAGATGTTTAGATTTTGTTCAGTGGGATGTTATGGATGTCTTCAGGTAAAATTATTTCAAAAGCACAGTTAGGATATGGTGCAGTGTTTTAGGGTGTTTTTCCCGACCTGCCAGTCCAATAGACTCTGCTCGATTGGTGTCCGATGTTGCAAAATTTTTTACATTTTCAGCTGTTGCGGTTCGTTTGCCTTTGAAAAACTAGTTTCCCTCCTGGTCTGTGGTGGCGCTGCACCAAGAACCACTGAAGGAAATGACACAAAAACGTCTGAAGAAGACAGTGAACTCAACTTCCTACTTCATGACATTGAAGAAGGAAGGGAAACGGAGAGGTACCAGATTTTAACTGTTGTAGGATTTCTCTTTTATCTTTCCCAAACGACCAGGAGCCATTAGTGCTAGGACAGTGTGTTTGTTTTGGGTGTACCCAGAATGCCACGTTCGATAGTCCACTTTCTGCTTTTGGAGTGGTCACTGATCCGCTCGGCATTCACATATCATGTTGCACAACCTTGGTAACTAGTTTTTTTTTTTACTGCTGGGAACAGTCGATTAGCATCTGAAAGCTAAAATAATACCCAAACTCCTCCATCGATCAATAATTTATTGTTTCCCCTGCTCCAGCGTCTCTCTGCCCGACTTTCTAGCAATGATTTGAAGAGGAGCTGCAAAAGAAAAGGATGTGGATTAGCAGTGCTTGCCAACAACTAATGTGTCAGAGGCCTCTTGAGATTTGTTACAAAACTCCTGCCCATCATCACAGCATCACCATGCACAGCAACTCTGAAGATGCTTAGATGATTAAGACTTATAATAACGTTTAACTTCCCTGTGGGATAAATAAAGTGGTTGTGAGTTGGCATGAATTGCAAAGAGCAGCTCGACATATTCACAAGTATAAAAGTGCATAAGATCAGATGAAATTGAGCATCAGCGCCACAATAAGGCGCTTTAAAAATATCTGCTCACATGTAAACACAAAACTGCTGTTTGTCAAATCCAAAACAGCCTGAAACCCTTTCTCACTAGAAGCTTCAATTATCACGAGAGGTTTTTGTAGAAAGTGGAACATCAGCGCCTTGCGTTTTCCTCTGAATCATTTGGGAATATTTTATGCAGCAGATCCACACACATTCAGCAGTTTGAAAATGGATCTTTAATCCTCAGGGAGCAGCTTAACAAACTGAAACTTGTAGTCTTTTATTTATTTATTTATTTTTCATAAACACTTATCTTCAGAAGTCTAGCATGCAATAAGAAATGGTTTGCTCTCAATCTTACCCCGATATCATCTGACAGGAAGGAAATGGATGACGACCACTTCCTTCTGTTTTTTTTTTTTTTTTTTTTTTTTTTGTGAACTCCTCTCCAACTGAAGTTTTAATGATGTTAAGTTGTTTGTCTTTCTGATGCTCTGGATTTTCTGCAGCCTCAATAATCAACCTCTTTAGATCCTTTGCTTCCAGCAGGAGCTGTGAAAGTCACTGGTTTGAATATGTCAAGTAATTTGTTTTTATACATTTTTGTTGTAGAAATGTTGAACCTTCCTTAAGGCAAGTTATCAATCATTATGATATGATTACTAATAAGTTAATACAAAAATAATCAACAAACCAGCCCTACGCTGTATTAAGTCTAGCAGAAATCGCTAACATGTTGTTAGCAGTATGCTTGATCTGCAGTTGCATCCATTTCTACAAATGGTCTGACTTTAGTCTCACAATTCTAACTTTAATTTCCGAATTCCGACTTTAATTTTCTGACTTTATAAGTCATAATTCTGGGCTTGAAATCATAATTTTGAGTCCATTGTATAATAATAATAAAATAAAAAGGAATTCTTTGCTTAAAACAAGCTCCCATATCTTGCTTAAAGTAACTTTAAGTGAGTTTTGTCTTATTTCTAGTGTACTACGACACCTGTACGAGAAAATAGACTAAAAACATCTGATGATTTGTTTTGTTTTTGCTGCTTGTTCATAAATGTATCTTGGAATCAGAAAAGCTCCTGGAAGCTGAGATTAGATGAACCTTCAGTTATCAAAGTGGGTGAAAACATGGCCAATATGTTTCCACACACCAACCAGATAACTTTTTTTCTCTTCTGTTTTGAGTTCAACCTAATCTTCCTGCAGCTCATTGTCTCCCAGGGACCACCTGCTGAGCTCTGTGCTGTTGTTGTTTCAGCTATGCAACCGACGCTGACATCCTGTTACTAACGCGTTCCCTGATATCAGGTTCTTTTTTCTCCCACTAAACAGTCACAGGACCTGCATGTGCAATCACCATATACGCCGACTCTGAAGTGATAGTGCAGAACGGCACAACGGCAGTCCTGCGTTGCACCTTTGACTCCAGTGAAGTGGTGACCAAAGCCACCAGTGTGAGCTGGAGCTTCCAGTCCAATCAGCCCGACAGTCAGTACTACTCAGCTCCATACGTGGTGAGTCCCAGCTGCTGCTGCTTGTGTCCTTTCTGGAACATTTCCCACAATCCCAAGATGTTTTCCTGTCATTGTGCGATCTGTCCTGACATGTTAATAACGACTTTAACTGTTCCCCAGGGATGGATGTGATGATTTGGTGTCAGACTTTGATTTTAGATCCCTTTTTTTTCCAGATTTTTGTTTGCTGTGCATGGTGATGCTGTGATGATGGGCAGGAGTTTTGTAACAAATCTCAAGCTGCATGTAAACTAAAGCTGCTTGTGGTGTTTATATTCAGGTCACAGCAAGGAAAATAGAGTCGTTCAAGACACTTAATTTTGAAGAAAAATAAATTTGTAAATAGGGCTGAGACTAACAATTACTTTAGAAATTGATTATTTTAGTGATTATTTTGATGATTGATCAATTATTCTATGATTTATCTTGATGATTAATCAGATAAAAAAAAGTGACGCATTCTGCAGATTTACAGGTTTCAACTTTTTTTCCCCTGATTTGTGTAGCATGTTTACATCATAAAGCTGCATGTAAGCTTGTGGTGTTTATATTCGGTTCCTGGCAGGCAAATTAAATTGCTTTATGACACTGATTTAAAATCAAAATCAAAATTTTTAGACAACTTATTGTCTGAAGGCACAGTGAAATAGGTCTAATTAGACTCAGACTTAGTTTATTGTCATTGCAAAAAGACACAACAGTGAATTTGGCAACAAAAGGTCTAAAATGTGTGAGTATGCATATACATACAGTCATACATACAGATTCGTGCATTTGTACAAGTGTTTCTGGTGCAGCTAAAAAAATAGGAAACATACAAATAGCAGTATTTTGCTAAATAAGAGTTGTAAATTAGTGAAAAGCAATTCATGCCACAGTTTTAAAAAGGTCTACACGATGATATAAAATGTATATTATTATCTGATTTGTGAATTAATCAAATAAAAAAATGGTACATTCTGCAGTCTTTTTCACTTAAGCAGTTAAGCTTTTTTGTACATTAGAAAAACACTAAGAAAATGCAAATAAATAATTTGATTTCTTTTTTACATTACATTGCTTGAAATGTAAAATCAAAGCATTCTTTTGGTGTACGTTTGAGCATTTTTAGCAAGAACATATTTACAAAGGTGATTTTTTTTTATCTTAAATTTGATGTTCATATTTTTTATACAGATTTGTTTTAATTACTGACCGATGTTCTTTTGGCAACATCGGTTTTGGCAAACGGCCTTTTTTAGTGTCTATACATTCCAGTTAGTGATAAATCAATTACTAAATTAGTTGACAATAATTTCATTAATCACAATTAATGTGATTAATCATTTCAACCCTAGTGCTAGACTCATTACTAACAAACATTAAAGCACCTGGTGCAATACTAATATCCTTCAGGAATCTGTTGTCTGAAGGAACAGCAAACTAAATGAACCCAAAAAGTGTCTTGTTAATGGAAAACCTGACTTTCGACCTGTTTTTTACTTTTTAATTTTTTTACAACCCGTTTTTGTTTACAGACAAGTCTGGTCAGGAGCCTCCCTTTCTGCTCTGATCTGCAAAATGTAATGACACAGCCTGGGGGTCTTTAATTTGCGGGGCAGTCTTGCCAGAACAGATGTATGCCGTCAGCATCTGGAGAATGCGTGTTGCACAATGAGCTGAGCAAAAAAACCTTTTTTTCCCCCTGAAGTTTCAACACTTTCCTGTTTAACAAAATCCTCTAAACTAACAACTCCATGAATCGGTTTGAGTCACTGATTGTTTTCAACATCTGGAAGGAAACTTTTTTTTTCTTTCGACCTTTTGAATCATTTTCAGTTCCAGACGAATCCTGCGGATGTGAAACAAATTAGGAACTTGAGCAAGTAGAGAATAGTTGGAGGAGTGATAGGTTTAAAAAGCAATTTGTCATTTTGTAGTTGCTTTGCACTCGTCTTTATCAGATATGAAAAGTAGCCGTCTGTCACTGGGGACAATTCATTCTGACCGTGTCATTTCAGGTCCTACTTCGGTACAGATGAGGTTTAGAGCCTCTGGAGAAACGACAACAAAACAGAATTCTGACTTAAATTTAAGATCTCTGACATTTGATCTCAGAAGATTAAAGTCTGAATTATTTTGTTTTTTTGTTTTTTTCAGTGACTCTAATCCCCTTTGGTAATTCTTTATCTGATATTTTCCGTTTTCTGTTTTTAATCTCAGATTAAATATTCTTTCCTTTTTTCTAGATTTTATATTTTGCCGACGGAAAAGCATATCCAGGACAAGAAGAATTCAAACACAGAGTTCAGTTTGTGGGAGACATCAACAAGAAGGACGCCTCGTTACAGCTGAGTCCGGCTCAGTTCAGCGACAACGGGACCTTCTTCTGCGACGTGAAGAACCCGCCCGACGTGTCGGGAACTCAGGGCCGAACGGAGCTCAAAGTTGTTCAGAAAGGTAGACTTAAAGATGTATTCATCTATTTAGATGTTCATAAGGTGACAGTACTATTTTCAAATAGTATAATAACGGAGGCATAATAGTGTGAGAATACCCACTCAAATATGAATAACTTTCATTTTTTAAAAACATTCAACACTGAAACCAGAAAACATTTTAAATGTCTAGAATAAAATAAAACAAAGCAAATTAAACAATAATAATTCAGGGTTTTCCCTAGAAAACTTGCTAAGCCCTGTGATTGGGGCCCTCAGGCAATCATTCATTCAATGGCCCGTTGTGTTTTTGAGTTAAAAAATGTTTAAAGTTGACAGGAAATTTGAAAATATCACATAACTATGTATTATTAGAAGATTATTGCTTGAATTCTGACTATAAAGTCTTAAAAAAAATGAAAACATAAAAACCCTAAAATAGATAAGTAATGCTTAGCTTGATGGGAGCCCCTAGTACAGCCTGGTGGCCTGCCAGGCTTATGATACACAGGGAGAAACCTTGTAATTAAAACAAATTATGATGACTCTGTAACCAAAATTGTTTTTACAAAAATTAATAATTATTCAGCACAGGCAAAAGTGGCAGATAGTACAGACTGACTACTTCATTCTGGCTGTCAAATGTTTGCAGTGTTTCTAAAAACGGCGGCTTGTCAGCAATATTAAAGGTAGCATCTTTTTGACAGTTGTCGTCCAAATGAGATTCATTGCACTTGTTTTCATTTTTCATTATTGATTTACTGCAAATAACTACATATGATAAATGTGAAGCGGAAAGAAAATGCAGCCAAAAAGAGCTCGTTAAAATGAATGGCCTTCCTTGATCGGCTGCTTTGCAAACACCACCCAATAGAGTGTGAAGAAGCGTTGCTCATGAGTATTCCTGCTTCCCAAGCTGCATTTTCTTCAGAATATTTTAGATATTCTCTCCAAAAACATTACGCAAAACGCCAATCTTTGACAAATAATTTGCAGTATCTTTGCGCAGTTATGTACTTCAAGTTTTATCATGGGGTTTTGTGGTACTATTGTTATAATAAAAGTAACAATCAGAACCACTTTTTTAGATAACTGTGTGACAGCGACTTTGTCACAGCAATTATAGCCATACAAGCACAAATACTGCTCTTGAAATTCATTCCCATTTGTAATTTGTTTCTTTAGGACGCCAGAAAGAAGAAGTGTGATTTAGATAATAAAACTACAAATTGTAACTGCATTTAATCATATTTTAAAATTTACTGATATTTATTGATCTTTTCAATATATATAAAACTAAGAATACAGATGGTTTTTAGGGTATTAAACATTAACTGGAATTTGTTGTAAATGGTAAATAAAAATATAAGAAATTCATTACATCAAATGGTAAACAGTACAATAAATGTCTATGTATGTATGAGATTTATTGATTTATATATGTGTGTGTGTTTCTTTTTTCAATTTCTTACGAAATTAATTGCACTGTCAGTTTGGCCTCCATGCAGCGGAGGGCGCTGCCGATTAATCAGTCTGTGGTATAGAAACAAACATGGCAGCAAGGTCAATATCAGAACGGCAAATTCAAACAGTACAGACTCTGGTGTGGGACACAAAATGCATTTTATGCAACTCTGTTTTGAAATATAGGCACTCGAAAAGCTCCTTAATTTATTACCTTATTGGCACTCATTCAGCTGAACTGCTTGATGAAGCATCAAGTTTTTATTCATGTGGGTTCCTCTTTATGTTTGAACACTTAACATGTGTTGTTTGAGGGGGAATACAGGAGGAATGAACAACCAGGCCCAGATGTGTCTGCTTGTTATTTGCATCCAGCTACATGAAGCGAACAAGTGCATGTGATGACTTGTCATCTTTTCAGATCCGCTCTGCTGGGAGTTTATTCTGCATGCAGAAATAGAACATTAGCTGGAGGCAAACACACCTCTCTTCCTCTTTTCTCTTTGGAGTCACAGTGTCTGCTTTGCTGTGACTCCAAACACTGAATTTCCAACACTGAAGATTAAAGTTAACTTTTTGATTTCTGTACCATAAATATGTCTGAATAGCCTATAGAAATTAAATTGATTAGGCTTTTTCTACATAATTTACTTTTGTGAATTTGACTTCCTGTGAGGTTTCTCCCTCTGATGGTATAGAGTTGGGGTTAGGACAATTTCAAGGGCTCTTGGAATTGTTTTTGTGTTTGTTTGTTTTTCAGGAAATAGAAACCAAGAGCCCTGTCAAGAGCTCAGTTAATCATATTGTTTGTTTACAGCTGTTACAGTAAAAATTAAATGTCACCCCTCCTGGACCAAAAAGCACACATACATATTTGCACTGAACGCCCCCCACCTGGATCTGCATGAAATGTTTCGTTCCTGCTGGTGATGGTGTTCAGCACCAGTTGGTAGAAAACAAGAAGACTATGGCAGCTGCTATCCTGCCAAGAAAAATAATAGTCAGGTTTCAAAGAGAGAGAGAAAAAGACAAGAGTGTCCTTTTGTAACTCAGTTTTCTCCAAGAAAGGTGAGTAGACTGTGAGATTGTCAACCATTTAGTAGAGTTAGTTTAGTTACAAACTACTTTTTGCCTCCACTTCACCAGCATTTAATGAATGAAGAAAAAATTGATCAACTTATTTATATATTTAACTTGTCCCTGTACCTTTTACTACACTTAACAACAGATGAGTCAGTCAGCAGCAGCTCTAACCCTGACAACAGCATAACCCCTTACCCCCATCCCAGTGGAAAAGGTGAGCAACACTGTGATCAATGACAAGCTAGTTAGCATCATTCCAGGGAATCTGTGGATTTTTCCTGTCTCTCTGCTCTTTTTACAATTACACATTGAAAACAATATGTATATTGCTGAAAGAAGTTCAAACTTTCTTTATAAAATTATTATAAAAATCAGCCTCCAGTCCTGCATTAGCTTGCATTTAAATTACAGATATCTGTTGCCACTCCTAAGTGAAATTAAAGCTGCAGTATATCTTTTTTTTTTTTTACAAATTTATTAAAACTCTCATTATGTTGTGACAGTGTGGCATGAAAAATAATCTGTGAAAAATCTATTTCGTCAACTTTCTCCCAGCACCTCTAGAAACAACCAATCAGAGGGGTTTTAGCGCTGTCAGTCACAATCTGGCACATCACACGTGGCTGCTCATTCTCCCTCCCCATCGCTCTGTGCTATGCTGCAGCTAGCATACTCTCATATATTTCAGCTTGAACAAAATGCAACAACATAGCATTTTGGATTGTTTTATGTATATTTTACATGTTGCCTATGACTATTGCTGGTGGGGAGAGACCTTTCAGTAAGCTAAAACTAATTTAAAAAAATAGGCAGCCTATTTGCATACAGTATGTGGACTGTTGTAAAATTCACTTGCAGTGAATATTGTGCTAGTATTAGCAATGGGCCAAAGAAAGCAACTAGGGCTGAAACAATTCCTTGAATGATTCAGTACCTCTATTATTAAAATTCCTCGAGGAAAATGTATCTGCCTCGAAGCTTTGTTAATTTATGTTGAATTATTTTGTAGGCATGTCACGATAAACAGTAAATCAATTAATCGCACGATCAATAAAACTATCAACCTCATTTTAATTATCGGCTTTATCGTTTCTTCCTGCCCTTTCTTTTTCTGTTGATGACACTGAATGAAAAAAGGCTCAATTCCGGTCCTCTCCACTGACCCTCCCTTCCTCAGTTCCTTAGTGTAATGCCCAGCGCACACTACACGATCTTAGAGCTGTCGGCTGATTGTCAGCCCATTTTCAAAACCTGAGAGACCACACATTAGCCGACAGAAATCCTAGATCTAATGGTTCAGTCATGCCATGTGGTTGTGACGGTGCGGTGAGAGGTTGGAGAAAGAGTTAGCCACTCTGACCCATAACAGCATAACGCACTGTTATAGTATTCCACACTTTAACTTCATTTCACTTTGACCAGGTAAAGCCAGATCTCCACGGTGCTAAAATTACACATTATACATGAGAAAAGTAATGATAGTTTACCGTTCTGCACCTCATTATCACCGATGATCACCTCCGCAACAACGTGGAAGACGAGTTCTCACGCTGCACAATAGTACAATAAACAAAAAAGGGAATATGCTTGTGGTAATACCTACTCATCTCTTAAGAACCAAGCAGTATAATGACTGTTACATGGTGTCCAACAATGGGCACAAAATAATGGCAACAAGTCCAGTTAACTAATTTTAAAACCAGGCATTAATCAATGCTTTACTACAATCTACCTGCAATGCATATGGCTAGTGTGAGTCTGACTGAATGAAAATCATTCTAACCTATTTACAGTATGTCATGTTGATGAAGAACTATTGAAAAGTTCTTGGGTTTATCAACTGCGGTAGCAATTCACTCCCAGTCGGTGAAGACCCCTGATTTAGATCAGAGCGGCCACAAAGATCTACCGTAACACACCACACATTACAGGAAGATTGGTTATGACATCACCCGCTACAATCTTAGAACACCCAACGTTCTAGATTGTCGTTAAGGGAAAATCAGGGGAAAATTTTGTGTAGTGTAGTTGGTACCAGGTAGTTGGATGTGCCCATCTTCTCCATTTAAATCTAACTGATATATATACAGTACAGACCAAAAACTTGGACACAACCTTCTCATTCAATGGGTTTCCAACGGCTGCTAACAGGTTGTGTTGAAAGTAGATCGATGTGAGGAGCTTATATACTTGCTGGTGATGTCAGAATTCTGCTTTTGGAGTTATATTGTGATGTCACAGTTTCGTTTGATAGTCAGAGTGGCATATGCACAGACATATGCAACCGGACTGTCGAACACATCAGTGGGCTTCTACGCTGTCACTGGTTGCCATAGTTACCCACCATTAACTTGTGTTTTTGAAGTTGTTTAGGATGTAGCTGTTCAAAACTGAATGATAAAATAAGTTATGCACATGAACTAAAAGAAGTGTATTTGTGAGCCTGCCTCTTTATTATTAAATTGAAAATAAATTCAGATTTTTGAAATTACTTTTCTTCAGGTTAACTTAGAAAGTGAGCCATTATTGTTACAAGTTAGTTTTCTAAACTTTGAAAATGTTATTGTTAGGGAAGCTCAAATATGAAAAATTGAACTGGTGATATCCAATAGTAAAATTGATGTTATGCTCGATTTACCAATATTGTGTTAATTTATTTATCCGATCACTCGATTAATCAGAAGACTAATCAATAGATTGCTCAATTACTAAATATTCATTTTCAACATCCCGAAAGCAAGGCAGTTGTAGGCCTTTAAAATTGTGACACTTTTGATTGGTCACATTGACTCAAGAAATTGTAACAGTTCTGGGTTATGGGCAGGAGGGAGGGGGGCAATTGAATTTTTTCATTATGGTGCTCAAGATTCCTGGTGGCGCCGCTGGCTACCATTCTTACAATGTTATAATGTAATCTCTGCATTTTGTTATCATTCTCACATCAGTTCAACCTTCTGGCATCACTATTTTAGCCATTATTAACTTCAGTGCTCTACAAGAATGGCAGAGTTTATAAAATGTTTGTATGTTCAACCTTTCTTGCATATAACATAGAATAGTTAATTAATAAATAGTTCCAAGTTTACTTTTATGAATGCTGTTATTAACTGCAGCCACCAAAAACATTGGCCATATATATGTTATTTTAATGCTGTATATTGTATATTAAAATCTATTTTGATTGCCATTTATGCTAGAGGATAGATATTATTAGGTGTTTTTTGTTTGTTTGGGTTTTGTTTTATTCTAAAAGTCTTTCTCCATTTTTTTTAATGCATAATAAAGACCTTGGAAACATAACGGAAAGCAAAATATGGCAAAACCTTTCACCATTTGCAGCAGAGTTAATGCACAATCACAGTTTACTCAACTCAAAACACCATCTGGAGACCCAGGAAGGTTAAAATTTCTTCTGTTTTGTGTTGTTTGGTGTTACTTTGAAATGATTAAACTGTTACATTTAGAAATGTCTATTTAATAACAGTAATGTGAATATTGTGATTTCTTTGTCAGAGACATTGTACAATTTCAAAATCTGCTTCATTTGAAAACGCCACAAATAAATTTCATATCACCAAATAAGCTCCAGAAAAATAGTAATCCAGAGAAAGAGGGTATAAGACTTCACAGTACCACCAGCTGACCACCAGCCTAGTCCAAGCCCAGACCACTCAAGTTGAGAATATCTGATAAAACCTCAAAGCTGATTCACTGTTGAGATTTATTATTTTATTGAATAATTCTGTCTTATAACTAATGTCTAATAATTATATATTTTCCTTTCCCCTTCACTATAATGAACTGCTGTGTGTGTTTTATGTGCAACACATTAAATCACAAAAAATTACACAAAATGTTTAGGTTGGAACATGAGGAAGATATGAAAAAAGGGTATAAATATTTTTATAAGTCGCTGTTGAAGACAAAACAGATTTCATGAGATTTATATAAAATTTTGCTTTGCTGTGTTTGCTGTTCCAGCAGAGTCTCTCCCTCAGACCAACACTAAGATTGTAATCTTAGCAGTGTGTGGTGCTTTAATTCTGCTCATCGCCGTCGCTATAGCTGCCTGCTTCGCCGTACGGGTGATTCAAAACCGGCACGATTACGAAGGGTGAGTAACGCTGCTCTGCTTGATCCCAACACAACTTGATGCTCTCATTTATGCAAACAGTTTGTAATGATGCAGAAAAGATTTTTTTTCTTTTTCAGCTATGTTGATCAAATTGTTTGGAAAAAGTAGGAATATTAAAACTTCACTCTTCCATCTAGTTTTTAAGTTCCAGTTATTGTCACTGTTGTTGATTCTAATTGTAAATCCAGATCTTTAAAAGCATTTAATTACCTGGTTGATTGTTTTGGCTTCATGGTTTGGGTACTTTTGTGGGCTTTTCCAAAGACAATCGTCTTCTTCTTGATTTTAACTCCTTCTGCATGGGAGCTGCATCTTCTCTTCGCTTCCTCGGAAAGAATAATGAACAAAACTTTGGATGCTTTAACTTCATTGGTCTATATCGAACTACACGTTGTACTATCTGAGGTAGTTTGATCATGTCTTGCATGTCAACACTGAATGTAGATTTTAACCTCACACTTGGTAGACAAAGTTAAATTTGTGCAGAGAGGGGAAGATCTCTTGTTTGAAGCCGTGGCAGCTTTGATTGGTGATCTTTGGGGTTGCTGTTTGCTCTGGTGTCAGTCATTGTTCTCCATCTTTGTGTCCTAACAACTAACAGCACACTGACATTTTCATTTAACATTACTAGCAAACTTGCTGTGAGCAAAGCTGCACATTGTTTCGTCATTCATTCACTTACATGCAATTGTGTAACCTGATGTAACCTGTCAGCAATTCTCCTTAAGGAACAATCAATCAATCTTTATCAATATTTATCTTTCACAGTAACAGCACAGCAGCCGCTTTACAGACTAGAAATAAAGCCGACCCATCCCTGTAAACGACTCATTTGAGTCCTCACCAATTCATTGATTCAACTTTTTTTGATCATAAAGAATTTTGAAATCAAATTGAGCTAAAACTGAATTAAAAAAAAATAAAATATGTCCAAAATACATATATACCTTCATTTATGACAGATACGGCATGAAAACCCCAAAAACGCACATGCAATAAAAAAAACTTTATCATGAAATATCAGGAAGCAACACCATCTGCCCTACTTGTGTAATCATGTAGTCCCTACATAAATTTCAGTCCCTTCATAAATTTGAGTTATAATTTCAGCCATAGTCCTCAAAATGTCTAAAATTAAACTTCATTTAAAATCAATCAAGACACAATTCGTATTGCATGGGATAGTTGTATCACTAGGGGTGAGTATGTCTTGTTTCGTTTATAATTTTTTGTGATAAATTTCTTATTGTGACAAGATTTTGGCTTATTGTTGTCACAATAAATTTCAATTAAAGATGATTAAATTTCCCCTTAACTGTCCTTGTCTGGAATGAAAGTTTGACTATTTTCCCCCCCACTGTTGGTTCAATAAAAGTGTCAATAAATACAAATAAATTTGAAGAGAAAATTCAAATTTGCATCACCAGTTCAGTGTTGCAAATCACACTTCTTTATGTTACTGATGTCCTAAAGAAGTGCATTATAAATGGGAATGTTTTTCAAGAACAGCATTTGTGTTTGTGGGGCTATAAGTGGAGTGTCACACAGTCGCTGCAATATAGATACCTAAAAATTATGTCATAAATAGTTCATATCGTCACGTTTATCGTTATCACATAGCACCGCAAAATATTTTGATAAAACTGAGTCCATATTTCTCACGGCTAATATCCTGTGTACCTCCATATTTAGCCTTCATACATTCAAGAAGGTTTGTGATGAATAATTCTGTCTTATAACTAATGTTGTAAGACAGAATGAGGAGGATTTACAAAATAACAGAAATCAAAAGTCAAAGACTGGATCAGAACCAAATTTGATGGAGTGTAAGTTTTTATGCATCTTTCATTCACAGAAACATGTTTTCACTGCCTGTATGTTTTATGTGACTGTTACATCTCTATCTACTCATGTTTACTTAGAAAATGTTAGCAGAAGGTCCTGCCCTCGTGGAGATACCTTCGCAACCTATTTTTTGTCATATAAACTACTTATCGTGTTCACAAAATGTAAGCTAAAGACATTTCTTCACATGATATTAAAAAAAAAGTGAAGAAAATGTCTCAGACTTGAGACATTTTGCTGCAGGTTATTGAGCCTTGGTTTCATTGTAACATTTTAGAAATGATAATACAAAGTTGATTTTCTGTCAGTCAAAGAAGCCACTTTTAGATTAAGGAGTAATATATATAACACAAAAAAAATCCCACTTTCTACAACATTTAGGTTTCTTTAATAAACATCCAAGTTACTTTCTGGAACTTGGAAGTTATTTTCTAAAACCTATAGGTTACTCTTAAAACGTTTGGGTTACTTTGTAGAACTTCTTGGTTGCCTTCTAGAACTCTGACATTGCTTTATATAACTCACAGGTTACTTTACAGAACTTTTGAATTGTTTTCTAGCATTACATGTAACCATGTAGAACATTCACATTATTTTGTAGAACTTAAAGGTTAGGTTCTAGATCTTACAGGTTACTCTTAGAACTTTTACTTTTCAGAACTATTACTTTTTCTGGCTTTTTGGTTTTCCAGAATTTAAACATTACTTTCTGTAACTTCTGTCAAATGTAATGTTTATTTTGACATAACTTATTTTTTCAGAACATCCATAATATCCACCATAAATTTGCCTAGAAATAACAAGGAATAAATTAAATGTTAAGTTGCAGCAAGTTACATAATATAATATGTGACTTGGGGGCCATGTTACCATCCAAATCCAATTAGTTCATCTCTGACCTTCTCACGGCTGCTTTGTTTCATGTGCTCATCACTCATTGCTTTTATTTTTGTCTTGTGTCCCGTCATATGTGTTTATGTTACTATGACTGTGCACCACTGGTTGCTCGACACCACTGCAAATCGTAACCCTAAACTAGATGTACGTCCCTGGAAGGCGTGAGCTCTGAAGCTCCGCGGCCGCTAAAGAAGGCGGAGTCCAGCCGGGAGGGCACCAGGTCAACCGGCCCCTCGGGTCCGCTGCAGGTAGGAGCTCCAGGACGAGGAAATCCACCGAGGGCCCCTATTTCAAAGGTTCTAGTCCATTTTAATGATGTTTCTGTAAATTCAGGCATGTTGTCAGGTCTGTCAGAAGTGAAGACCCAGATTTACGATTGGTTCTGGTTTGCTGCTTCGTCAGGTTGGTTCTTGAAATGACCGATTCAGGTTGATACAATACCAGGTCTTGAAGGTATTTGGTGCTACGCTGATCAGTGATTTATAAACTAGCAGATTTATTTTAAAGTGTATTCTCTGAGCTACAGGAAGCCAGAGTAAGGACATTAGAACTGGAATGAAGTGTTCTGTCTTCTTAGTTTTGGTGAGAACATGAGCAGCAGCGTTTCAGTTCAGGTGCAGGATTGATTTTTATTTTTTTTTTTTTTAGGTAGACCTTTGAATGCACTGTTGCAGTTATCAATTAAATATAGATTTCTAAATGTATCTTTTTAAATATTTTTCAAACTGGGAAAAAAGTTTTTTTTATCTTAATTTTCCAGTTTTTAGGGTATTTTTAGTTTCACATCTTTTTTCAGTTAAATAATTTTTTTCTTTGTTTCAAACTTTTCTTCTTTTGTTTCAGTTAAAATAATTTTTTGGCTAAAGAAGTTTCTAACAAACTTTTTGATCCCAATTTAGCTCCATACCTGTTTGTTAATTTGCTTCTGATTATCTGAATGTTTTGATCTCCACTCACCGGTTTTCCTCTGTCGTGTGCATTTTGTTTTGTGCTTCAGGGCCCGGTGATATACGTCCAGTTGGATCACTCAGGCAGTAAAAACTCGTTCCATAAGATGGAGCCCGTGGTCTACGCTGACATCCGTAAAAACTGAAGATGGGGACCAAAACAAACAAACAAACAAAAAAAAAACTAAAAGAAAAGAAAAAAACAAAAGAAAACATAGTAAAGTATGAGACCTCTCATTTAGCTGCTCTTGGGAAGGGTGGGAAAGGTTTTAACAGGGACAGAACTGGTGCAGTTTCTCTCTCTACTCTCTTCTTTCTCCATATTTTGTCCTATGAAAGCATGTTATATGATAAACTAATGTATTAGTTGTTGACTTAAAGAACAAAAAAGCTACAAAAACTCTCCAGTTGATACTACATAATATCAGCCTTTAAAAAGTTCTCCAAAACGGGGAGCAAAGTGAAAATAATGCCTTCATTGACATCATTCCAAGTGTAGATTATTTTATTTTAACCCTTGAATTGTTGTGCCCCCCTTAACCATCTAGTAGCCTCAGACACACCCAGCATATTACAGATCTGCAGGCTGTTGCACCAAGTCAGCTAACATTTACTGACTTCCATATCTTACAAGTGAAGGCTAAAATCATGCCGAGATTTTTGTTTCATCAAATGAACGACCAGTTTCAGTGAAAGAAAACGCCATTGCTTACTTGATAATTAAAACTGCTTGTGAGCATGCTGTATAAAAATCAGTTTAACAACTCTTATTTATTTCAATTTGATTGAGGACAATATATTTGTTTCACACAAAGTTATATGCATTTTTTAAGTTAGAGTTTTAAGTCTGCTGACATCAGAGTAGGGCTGAATCCCATTAAGTTTAACAATCAAACTCCAATGATAAATGCGTAAGATACACCCTAAGGGAGCAGGAATCTCCTTGTCATTTATTACAATTAAATAAAATATGTTTTTACCGGATTTTCAGACACGGGAAATCTAGCTGCGTTTTGATTTGCAGCTTTGTCGTTTGGCTCACCTCAAACCTGATGCCTGGCATTTAAGATGTTCCATACCAACCAGATGTCAACTTGCTTACCTTGGAGACATTTCACACTCACTTCGACTACAAACGAACAATGTTTTATACTGATAATGTTTACCAATAAAACTGAGGTCACTCAGTCAATCTCACCCAAAATAGATGAAAATAGTCCACAACAAAACATATGGATTGAATTATGAGGTTGATGTTTAGATTATTTCTGTAATTCATTCGAATCATTGTGTCATATTAACCCCTCAAAGGAGTGCCCCAGTTAACGAGGGTATGTTTTACGTACTGTTTGAATTACATCCTGGCACATCAGGGATGTGAGAAAAATGGGATTCAGCCAAACGAGCTCAGATTGTTTCCTAAAAGTCAGGTTCTGCTCCTCATTTAAGAGCCTGACATCATGGTGCTTTGAGTCGACGATGTTTACCCTGATAAAATGCAGGCAATGTCAAACTTTAAAAAAAAAAGCAAAGGTACAGAAGTTAAAGGTGCACTGTAAATACACAACACCGTCTGTGCTTTCTCTGGTGATGAAATGTCTAAACCTACAGAGAAAAAATGTAGAGTTTAGAAAGATGGTAGAAATGAAGCTACTTTTCAATTATTTTATGTCCATTTTCTTTATCTGACAGTGGCTTAGGGTAGTCAGGTACACTCGGTTCAATTAGGAACCAGAATTGCAACATTTGCTAAATTATCAGCTGCCGTAGTTCTCTTTAACAATGCTTCACTGTCTGAAATAAACCAAAGGCTTTGAAAAACCTGCTTCCCTCCTCGCCTGTGGTGACGCTGCACCAGGAATCACTGAGGGGAATGATTAGCGGTTGTAAGATTTCTCTTATGGCTTTGCCTGCTGTGCGATTTGATTTGGTTTTATTTACCCAGAATACCCTGTGCTGCAGTCCGCTTTCTGCTTCTGGAGTGGTCTTCGGTCCAATTGGCATTCACATAAGCATCCAAACCGCACCAGAGTTCACTTCAGACAGAAATTTGGAGGCGGACCAGAGTTAGCTTTTTTTGGTCTACTTTAGAGTTCGATTAACTCCTCTCAAAACGAACTGGACTTTCTAAACGAACCGACTGCAGTCTTATTAAAGCAGACTAAACGGGGCTGGAGTGAATGCAGCCTAAAGGTAGAGCATTTCCACCATTTGGTGGAAATGGTGGAAAACAGAACCAAACAAGAAATAGATCCGTCCAAAATTATGGCCACATGCACTAATTAAAATTTTTATGTTTTTATCCAAAAGGTTAACGCACATTCAGAATGTTTTTAATTCTGATTTGCACCACAGTTTCAAACTCTACTAATACCATTTTGAACACTTAGGAACAATTCATAAGATGTCATGGCTAAAAACAAAATCATATTCTTAAACATTTGGCTGCAAAGAATAATTTTGAGGTTCAATAGGGACTCAAAATTCTGTCAAACTTGAAGCAAAATACCTCTGTTGACATTTGGACGACAATTTTGATTCAGTCTAGTGAAAGTACAGCTTGCTGGTAAAATAAATCTAAAGTAGCCTTTCAGGTGCAACAGTCTGCAGAAGCTGCAGTTGATCTCCATCAAGGGCATCTCCATCGTGGTCTTGTTTTGTAGAGGCGTATTTAGTAATGTAAAGTTAGATATTGGCCCACAGTAACATTGCATGCAGTTCTAGTAACATCTACGAAGTGAAGTGAAGTTGGTACTGCTCATCCAGCTAGTTTGTTGCGCAGAAGAAGGCGCCTGACGTTGTGTTACTGTGAATGCTCCAGCTTTCTGTGAAGTTCTGGCATGTTGTCGTGGTACCAGTTGAAAAAAAAAATCCATAAACTCCCTTTTTGGATTTTTACCTCAACAGCTTAAAAAAAACACAAGAATTTTGGGTTTAATTTAATTTGAATTATTGCGGGAGTTTTGGTTATTCAGCGTCATGTTAACTTATTTGTTTCTAAATACACTAGGCATGTTAATAAATGTTGCGCTGAGGTGACTTTTTCTCTTCTTATAAAAAACAGGGAGATGTCATTTTGCATAACAAAACTTTTAAATACACGGTTTGCATGCAATTTACTAACAAGCATTTTTTCCCCCCAAATGTCTTATTTTTTTCTATCTGTATCATGTTTTCCCTCATTCGCGGGCCAAATATGAATGGTTTTTCTTTACAGATAGTGTTGAGCTTTAAATGCATTCCAAACTATTTTTTATTTTCTGTTGTCTTAAAGCATTTTAAAGCCAAATTTGTTTTTAAATTATGTTGACTTTTTGTTGTGGAACCAGTCTGAAAGCCATCAGCTCATGATCTCGAATGCAGTAAGTTTCCATAAGTGTGTTTGTTTTGCTTAACAGTTGAAAATGTTGTGCTGTTTACTGTAAGTCATTCCAGTGTGGTGTGCCTGTGGGTGTCTTTCCAGAGGAAGGACGGTAGTTTGCTGAAGAGGTCCAGAAAGATGCTGATTTGTTTGTTGTTTTCGCTTAAAGTCTTAATTCTTTGTAACCAGACACTAAAACCTACACAGTGCCTGCATAAAGTATTGGTGTGAACACTTCATAATGGTCAGAATTAAAGACTTCTTCTTTTAGTAAATATTTTAGTGCCCTAGCCAGAGTAGCATGTGAGCAGCATTTCCATTAATAAGATCAGACCAAGCAGATACTGTATATTGACCAATATAGGCTCATCTACATGATGAAAACAACATTTTCTACCTCAACAAAATCCAATTTTAGTAGTAAAATGGAAAAAAAAACAACCAAAACTTAAAAATTTCCCAGCAACGACAGTCCAGGCTACACAAGCGAACTTTAAAATCAAACCTCAAACATTCCTCTTTCCAACAGCGCCAGTATCTCACTGAACCACGAGACAAAAACAGGAAAATAATGCTTATTTCACCAAGCCAGAAACATAGATAGTGTCTTTTTTTTTTTTTTTTGCTGTTTTATGATAGTAATTCATGTTGGAGTAAATATTTCCACTCGGCTCCTGTAATCTTTTATTTCTGCGTGATTTCTGACCAGTTTCACCCTTTTTAGCGGCAGATGCACTTCCTTCGCTTTGACTGGTGAATAACGTGAATAATTGACGGTTCAATGGACGTGCCAAGCATCCAAATCACCCAGTGTACTCCAGAAATGTCCCTCCATAGTTTACAATGTCTGACCAGAGTACAGAATGCTTTGACCCACTGAGCTCAGGACACTTGTAGAAGTATTCTTTTAATTTTGGTTTCATTGCAAAGCCAGTAATTAAATAGAATGACAAACCGAGGATGATATATAGGTGGCACAGAAAATAACCTGAGAGATTTCAAATGCCACAGACGGTACCAAACTGTTCTATAATTGCTCCTTTGGAAGGTTCACCGAGAGTTTTATCAACTAATACGTCCCCCAAATTTCTATGCTGAGCTGTTTTTACTGACTGGATTTTGGTACAAATTACTGCTGTGTCCCATACTCATTTACTTTTATTCAGTAATATGAGTGCAGATTTTAGACCCCATAAGTTTTCTTTTATTTTGATACCAAGACAATTAAAAAGATTAACCTTGCGTGCCAGAGATATAATACAATTTATTTTGGGCCATGCACTCCATGGTAATTTAACAAAAATAGATCAGATCTTTAGCAGTGAAAGATGCATTAGGCAAAAACTGAGAAAAAAAAAAACTAAAATTTTTACATTAAAAAAAACTGAATTTTTCTCAGGGTTGAAACTAAGCTGAACATTCCGTCCTAAAATATTTAAAAAACAGAAACTGTGACATTATAAAAGCCATAAAAGTTATCAAAATGCAAATTCAGTGACTCAAAGTCCAACTTTCATAGACTTTAGTAGGTGTTTCTTCTGTAATATATAACTCAGTAGTGGAGATAAACAAAAAAGGGCTGTGTAATTTCCTTCTTTTATTTTTTTTAGCTTCATTTATTAACCTGTACGACTGCGTTACAAAAAGAGATCCTTATTTTGACCATTATAACTCCAAACAATGCAGGCACTGTGTTGTCTTCCACTTGACCCGTCTTGTTCGTCCTCAACCCAACAGGAAGTGTTCGGTTCTTGTTTTGTTTTCTGTTGCCGCTCAGCATCACGCATGTTACCGACTAACCCGACAGGAAAAGGAACAAACATGTAAAAAATACTGACAAAACCCTTTACTGCTGGTCACCTGGCTTCTAATCGTGACTTGTCGCAGTGTTTAGTGATGTTGTAAAAATTGTGATGTAAACTATAAATTATGAAAGACTTCATCTGAGCTCGTGTACGGGTTTCGGGTCTTACGCAGGGCTGAACGGTTCAGTCACGTCGAGTCTTACGGAGCGTGCTCAGTGTTTTTCGGTGGTTAGATAGTTGTGTGTTATTTACGAATTGTTTGGTATGTTGTGTGAAATCTGCACTATGTCTTGCATAACAAAGACAACGAATGCCCTGTGATTGTTTTGTTTTGTTTCCTCGAAGTAACCATGGCCTCTGTTTAATGTCTTTAAAACTGGAATGTTGTACATTTAGTGCCTTTTACATTTCATCAGCTAACTTGAACATCTGCTCAAAAATAGAAAATAAGATTCATTTATTTTCCTTTTATTGTATGTATTTTTTTATACACATAATATCGCTTCTGTATCCACTGTTCAAATTTTATATAAAACCTACTCCCGGTCAATAAAACAAAGTTTCTGCTCGTTATTTTTGCTCTCATCCATTTCCTTGGTTCTTGTTGAACCCTGAACATTAGTTGTTTCCATTTTAAACGTGTGCAAAACTTTGTCAACATTCTGCTGATGTCCAAAATAGCTACATCCCAGTTGCTGCGTTTCCATTAAATAAAGGCAATAAGACATGAAAAAATATGCCTCTCCATAATCCTGTAACCGTAGAAACGTCTATCTCTGTAACTACTTCCTGTTGTCTTCTCAGTGGTTTGTATCTGTGACAAAATCCGGTTGTGATTATGTGACTCGTGTGATGCGGAAAAAAAAAGTGTTTCCATTGCACCTTGTTGGAATAAACTAGTTTTGATACGGTCAAGAAAAAAAACACCTCATTCTAGCCAAAACCTTTTAATAGAGTGTTGTTGCTTTTTAATTGGCATGTTTTTCATTAAGCAAATTTATTTTCTAAATGTCAAGTTGCGCAATGTTAATAGAAATGCAGCTTGTGTTGAGTGTTTTTAATAACCAGTTAAGATTGAGACGTTGAATCTCCTTATTTGGCACATTTTTCTCAATGATTAAAGAAACAAATGGTTTGACCAGCTGGTGGAAGTTCTCCATCAGGGGGCGCCAGAAACAGTGAATGACGGATTAAGAGGCCAAGGTCATCTTCATTTTTGGTCAATATCATGGATGTACCGAAAGGGCTGGTAGTGGCAGAAATTATTCATAAAACTACTCATTAACAAACTGTTGAAATGTTAATAAATTGCTGAATCTGCAAATGAAATAATAAACATGTTTTCACATTGTTGTAATTTGGCAGTGTGCAGAAATGAGCTTTGATGGAAAAAATAAAATATATTAGTACACTAATGTTATCTTGAAGGTTTGATTTCTGTGGGCTTTCAGAGTCCAGAGCGCCAGAAATGCTTATGACGGACCGGATTTGGCCCACGGACCTTCACTTTGACGTGGATTTAAAAAACCTTTAAATTCTACAATGAATTGATTGGGAACAAATTATATTAAACTTCAGTCCCACTGACTTGAAGTTATTTGTTGGTCCAATCACTGGATTTGTTCATCTTCATGTGTGCGTAACCTGCCAAGCTGAAATATCTAACATTAATTTGTTTGGTTTATACTTTAAATGTAGTCCAAAGATAAATAACTATACAGCAGGAAATTGTCAATACATCATAACCTCACCTAAAGTTTAATTTAGTGAAACTCATATTGACTTATTTAAATAAAACTGTTTATTTTTGCTAATATTGAACATTCTGTTTAATTCTTAAAACATTAGTTTCTTTGAAAATATTTATATCATTGCAATAAGAAAAAAAACTAACTTTTTATTGAAAAATGTGCTTCGTCTGCAGTCAATAGTTGGTTGGTCAGATAAATGCATATTTTTCTACTACATTTTTTCTCTCCACTAATCTTTCCTTGAATATAGAAAGTCTGGAAAACACCCAACTTCATTTGCGATGAGATTTTGTAGGCTGTAATCTTGTAAAGTATATTATTGTGCCTTGTCTTTTATATATTTTTAACATTTACATTTTTTATTTTTATTTATTTATTTTTTACTTTTTGTGTGAAATAACATATCTGATGCTGCTGTTACACTTACACTTCCCTTTTGTGGGTCAGAACAGACTATATTGTTGTGTCTATGACTCATCATGATTGCAAAGTGCCGTTAAATAACATTTATGGATTTAAAATTATTTTCAAATTGATTTCATGCAGTATTCTAATTTTGTAAGTACCTGAATTATTTATTATTTAACTTTTTATTTTTGTTAGGGGTCGGCCAAAATTATGTAGCAAAATATACACTTGAAATGTATCCCTCTGGGTATAAGGAGTCTAAAAGCAGTCAGCAAATTAGTATTGTTGGTTCTTTTCTCAAATTTAGTCTTAAAATACTTCAAAAAGTGCTTTGATTAAGCCCACATTTGTAAATAAAGTAGTTTTTGTTGTCTTGAATGTCATATTTTCTTTATCTATAAGCAGAAAATATAATAAAAAAATAGTCTTTAAAACACCAGCTAGTGTGTAATATATATATTGTGGTTCATCTAAAGTAACTTTTCAATAATTTCTTAAATGGGTCTGGAATATGTGCTCTTTGCGCAGCAGGCTGCAGTGCTTGGATATCACCAGCAGGTGGCAATAGACTCCAAAAGGTGAGGTCATCTTCGTTTCTTCTTCAAGAAACGAAGTGATAAAATGTGCAACAAAACACTTCGCTCTTTGTGTTTATGTTAGGAAACACAGAAAATGAGGGAATACCAGAAACGTATCTTCGGCCTATTGCTGCGAACATCTGCTGCACCTGAAGCGAAAAGGAAACAAACAACCCGCAAAGAAAAAAGCTGCGGGATTCCCGGATGGATAAATCCCCTTACGTACAGGTGTAATATGATGCAAGGAGATGAACGGTGATGGAGAAAAGGGGGGTGAATATGAAACCAAACCAGCTGTTACTGTGCGAGAGCCAGCAGACAACATGTCCAGGTAAGACTCTTCTTGTTTTATTCAGACTTTTTGTCAAGTTGTGTTTGGTGGGATGTAACCGGAGTACTTCCAGCACGGACACTAATGGGGGGAAACATACATTTTTCCCTCATTTCTTCTGGATTAAATTACGACGTTAAACTTTAGAAATGTTACTGTGACGGAAAGCAACTGGTGCGTATCCAACTTTGAAGTGTTTCTGGAGTCTTCTCTGCGAATCCGTTTGTTTATCCCAGCAGCCTTTCACCGCGGCTCCGCACCATTTCACCGCCAGAGCGAATAGCGACGCGCCGAAAAGGCGGAGTCACTGACCCCAAGGTGACCTCCCAAATATATTTTGTAAAATATGTGATCATTCAAATAAATCTGAAATGAATACATTACGTAAATAAATTTATAGAATTACTTGCACAATAAAATTATTAAATGTTTAAATAAATCTAATTTTAATTTGTTACATAAAATCATATGTTTATTTAAAGTTTCATCTGCTGCAGTCCATAATGAAATAACCTAAAGTGTCACAACAACGCATGATGTATCAACATTAACATCGCTATCGGCCAGTGTTAGGCTTCTTTTTAGGATGTGTCACTTCAAACGGTAAAATATGGTGGATATTAATAACTCATAGTGATGCAGCGGGATTCTGAGGTGTTTAGCTGAAGCAGAGATGTCAGCAGTGATGCTTTTTCTCTGTGTATCTGGGAATTCTTGGTTAAAACAAATTTCTTCTTCAATCATTGAAGTTACTCAAAGTATGCAAAACTTTTACTCAAGTAAGAGGAGTAATGAAATTTCTCAAGTAAAAAAATTCTAATAAAAAGAACTCCTAAAAGTACATTTCTTTCCAAGAAGTTGAGGAAATCTTAAATGGTTACTCCCCAACTCTGAACATATATATGTGTTTTTGTTTGTTTTATAGAGGGTGACACAGGCCCTCTATAAAAGACTTTTGATGGACTGAGGAAAAGAGATTTAGTTCGGCGTGATGCAGTCTTGAGGAGTTTGACCGCAATGTTAGGTCACATTTTAAATGTTATTGAAAGAGGAACTTGAATATCTCAGGATATTTTTCAACCGTTAATAAGAACAACTGATCCATACTTTAGCCAATCATGAGGAGGATTACTGACCACTGGACAGTCATGCAGGCTCAGACATATGATGTCACCGCTGAAGAAGATGCTTGTTTATAGAGTGACAGCATGAGAGCCAGGCTTATAATAGTTTTATTATAGGTCATTTTATTTTATTTTGACTTTTTGTTTGCCTAATTTTGTTAGTTTTCATTAGTTTTTAGTTTGTTTGGTAGTTAAATATGTAGTATTAGTTCAGTTTTTATTAGTTACTGCAGTTACTGTAGTGGGAAATTTTGTTCTAAAAGGTCAAAGTCTTGTGATCATGTATACATCCTTTGAGTAATGAATACTCAACAGAAGTTACTATTTTCAAGAATTGTGTTCAGTTATTGTTGAACAACTAACTGATGCCGGTGTTTTATTACAACTGTTGTGGGTTAGTGTAAATGCCGCCTGGAGGATTATGGAGTGCTGCTATTTGCCAACAGCTGAAGAAAACTGCTACTTTGGGGAAAAATAAATTTCACATTAGTTTGAAAAGCTGGAAGCATATTATATCTATAATTTTATACGCACAATAAACACACATCATAGTTCCAGTTAGTTGTAGTCAATGCCAATTAATTTCAGTTCTTATTTATTTCAGTTAATGGAAATGTTTTCTCAATTTCAGTTAACTATAATAAGTCATCTTTTCCCGTAAAAGGAAAACAAAAACTAAAGAATGTCAGATTAGATTAAAGCTGTTGGTGGAAGTAGAAGGGCTTTTCCAGAGCAGATGATTCCTATGGGTTCAGCTGAGCTGAACACAGAGCTGTGAGTCAGAAGGAGAGGACATGGTGGACATCAGTCAGCAGCACTTCAAACGATAAAGCACCCGTGAATGTCTATGTCCACTTTGATCGATCATCTATCTGTCATTAATCTGTCATCCATCTGACATCAATCTGTCATGAATCTGTCATCCATCTGTCATCAACCTGTCATCCAGACTGATGATCCAGATTAGTTTCTGTCATCAATCTGTCATCAATCTGTCATCAATCTGTCATCCATCTGTCATCCATCTGTCATCCATCCATCCATCCATCCATCCATCCATCCATCCATCCATCCATCCATCCATCCATCCATCCATCCATCCTCAGTGTTCTCACACAAATATTTTTTCTCAGTGGAATGTTGAAGTAAAGCCTCTCATGAAAGGCATCCTCAACAAATTCACAAGCCACTTCACTGTGGCAGCAGCAGCTCTGGGTTTTTCTGCCTTTCTCTAAGTCTGGTTTCAGATCTCAAAATGCTCAGAAAACGTTAAACATACTTTCACTTTAACATCTTCCTGCTGCTTTAAGCTTAAGGATAAATATTTTAATGGTTCTCCTGGTTTGTGATGGTAGTTTAATCACATTTTCTCGTCAGGGTGAGACATGCCTTCACTCCTTTGAGACTCTCTTTATGTACTGTCACCCGTTAGTATTTCAGTGATCATTTATAGTTTGTTTATAGTGTGGTTTTGGCAGAGAAAAAGCCACATGACAACTCCCCCTGATTCCCACAGGCCTGAAAGGGAGTCGATCTCTTACTGGGTGGAGACACCAAAACATCCCCAAATAAGGACGCCTGTTTTAAAAGAATGCAAATATATGGAAAGTTGGGAAGCTCCAGTTTCAGCTGAAATGCCCCGAATTCCAACTCTAGAAGTCCGAGAATAGTTTTTCTCACTGGGAAACTGAAAAAGTGGGAGTTTATGGGGTTTGTTCCTGGACTTCCCCAGCCCCTTATAAGGTAGTTTTTCCCCCCCGGGTGGTGGGAGGGTGGAACCGGGTGCGCGCTCTCAGAGGGACGTGATGGCCGGTCAGGTCGGCAGACGCGGTCGCCCACATGTGGAGGCAGGAGTCAGCTGAGAGCCGTTGGTGTGCGGTGCGGGCACCGAGCTGTGAGTGGGTGCGTAAGGATGTAAAACCAGCGTGGTCAGGAGCCACTGAAAAGAAGAAGATTAGTCATCCGCTGAGGTAAATGGAGAGAGAGAAAATTGTTAATGTGGGATGTTTGTTTTTAAGAAAGTGGCACACAGGGCACAAGACTGAGAGTCTGAGCGAGAAATGCATGGACTTTTCAAGAAACTCCGTCAGTTGCCGAAACTAAAAAATACAGTTAAATGTTGATTTTTAAAAAATTTTTTTCAGACTGAATCAATTAATCAAGCTGAATCGATTTTTGAAATAGACATAAGCTAATTTAGTAATTGATTAATATCTATCTGGAATTTACAGTCGCAGAAAACGCAGTTTGGAGGTTTGATATTGTTTCCAGAGTGGCCTCTGACATCATTACAGGTTGGGTCTGAAGACTAATTTCATAATTGATTAATAGTTAATTGGAGGTTACTGACTCAAAATAAAAACTTAATTTGCTGAAAAAATAATTAAGCTAAAACTGTTTGAAAAATATATACATTTTGCATTTAAGATTACAAAAGTTTATTTGTTTGGAAATATGTTTTACACCTAGAACTCATCAAGTGGCACAGATTTAACTTTACCTGGTTCAAATTCTGTAAATTCTCCTATTAGGCCTCATTAATTTAATTATTATTTATTTGCATTTTTATATATTTTTAACATTGTAAAAAAAATGCTGAAATGGTTAAATTAAACATGTTTAAAATGCGGGAATTGTGAATCCGATTAATCTATTAATCGTTAGGACAATCAATCATTAAAATGAGTTGCAACCCTCTGCTTTTATTCTAATCTTCCACCAAGGGCTTCATATGGGAAAGTTTTGCAAACAATAACCTGCTTTTAAAAGACAGACACTGATTTTCAGTGAGCTCTGTGATGGAGTTTTCTATTTTAACACAAAGACGTCTTCAAATCTTTGTCTAAGTTTCCTCAGCTGAGTCAAACTGGATGGACAACATCTGCAAACATCAATTTTCACATCCTGCCAGAGACTCTCAGTTGAATTCAGGTCTAGACTTTAAGTAGGCCATTCTTGTTGTTTCAAGCATCCTTGAAACAACATCACTTTATTGTCATATATCTTCATACTGGAAGGTGAACCTCTGCCCCAGTCTCCAATTTTTTTCAGCCTGTGTCCACCTTGTTTGTTTTTGTTTATTATATATTTATTGCAGCAACACAAACTAACACTGAAATTTTGGAGAAATGCAGATTTCGATTTAAAGGGGGAAAAGAATATTTTAATCAAAATGAGACTTCGTGTGATTATTTATTTTCCTAGTAATTGCTGCAAAGCAAATATCAAAACAAATATAAAAAAATTTAAAATTTGTTTATTTTTCCTTCTCTCTTTGAGAAATTGTAAAGACAAGAGAATATGCATTCACAAAACATAACCTGCAAAAACACAATCTGTCTAGGTAGTTTTGTCGAGTTTCTAGGGCAAATATCTTAGTACATTTGAAATAGGACAAGACATTTGTCCTATGTTATAAACGAAATAACCTGCCAGTGGAACTAGTACCTGTTTATCAATATGAAAGGAACTAGATCCTTTCATACTGAATAAGTTTTGTTTGATTTCAAAAGGACATAATATTGATTAGACCAACGATACTTTGGTAAGATTTTGTGTTTCTGCAGAAACACCTCTACCTTATTTACAGTTTAAATAATGTATTGCAATTGCAGTAAAAGTTTTTTCATTCAAAGGCTTTAAGCTCTAAATGTGCTTTATTTCTTCTGATGGTTCTTGTTGAGAAGGTTTAAGAAAATCTCAGCTTGAGATGAAGACATTTCATCAGATTCATAAACTATGAACTGCCTCTCCATTAAAAACAACCTCTTGCTTTAAGGTCTGTGGCTTTATTCTCACTTTAAATAAAATCTGTTTCTGTGCTCCTCTTCCTTTCAGGCTTGCTGGTTTACATGAATTAAACTTACTGTGAATCAGGGAAATTGTGTTCTTCTTTTTCAGCACAACAAGGCGTTTGTTTCACTGACATTTCCATGTGCTTATCAGCGTATCGTTACCATGGGTACTTACCATGACTTCAGGGCTAATTACTCCCACATTGTCTGTCTGCTCTGCACTGTCACACGTTGTTTTGTTTTGTTCAGAAATCGTGACTCATCATAGTCTGACAAAACAGTCTTCTTCGCTTGTTTCAAAACAATAAGCCTCAGCTACCTGCTGAGAACCGATGGAAACCCGTTGATTGCTTCGTCATTCTCCGTCGTACCACAGAAATGCAATGTAAGAGAAGTAGTGCGGCGTTTCTACGAAGGAGAAAAGCCCCTTCTATTTTTTAAGGTGCAAAAATAGCACTGTCAAAGGTCAGCATGTCACATCTACGCAAGGCTCGCTTCCTTCCCCCTTTTTTTTTTCAGCCGTATCACCTACAGCATGCTTCCTGACTGTCTGATTTGTGTGATCTGGGCTCTCTGTGCTGCAGGACCATGGCCGCCTTCCAGCTGCTCTTCCCGCTGTGGGCCAGCTGTGTGGCCGCTGCCGCACATCCTTCCAGGCACATCGCTCCATGCCAAGTTGTAAGTACAAATCCCGGTAAAGAAATTGGAAGAAATTGGCTGAACTGACTTTGGAAAAAGATTCTTTATTTGTTTGTGTAGATTGGAGACATTTTCTACGACCAAACCATTCATAACATTCTGTTTACCTGCGGTGTTGAGCTTAATATCTCATGTGTTTTTTATCACCGGCTTGTCATGTAAGCATTTCAGGAATTCAGCTTGTGTTTATATCACTGTTAAAAAATGTAAAGTTCAATCTTTATCTAAAACTTTAATGATTTCAGTGCTCATATTTCATCTGTAAGCCTCTATAATCATTTCCAGATGCACAAACCAGCAGATTGTTTCTTTGCTTTCAGATTATTTTAGACTTTTCTACACAACAAAAACACAAAATGTTACCAAGTATTTATGGTCTAGTTTCTAGTACAAAGCTGTCTTTTTTCAATTAGCGTCATGTAATGTTGTTATTGTCAGAGAATCTGCTTTTTTTTCTTTTTTAACTGAAGCAAAGTTAGGAGAAATTGAATGTAAGGTGTTTCTTAAGAGGTACACTTCAGAAGCACAAAGTATTTTTGGTCTTTTCTAGTGCAAATATCTCTGTACTTTTAAAATAAGACACTTCTCACAAGTAACTTTTAAGGGACATGAAGAGAGCTTATGTAAACAATTCATTTGTATTCATTAAAAATGTATACTTTCACTTACAATGGGACATTTTTTCCAACGTTACAAATGAAATAATCTTGCAGTGGAAGTAGTCATTTTTTTTTATCAATATTTAGGAATTATTGACATAAACAAGCTGATATATTTTGTGTAAAAGTTACTTGTAAGTTAGTTTTGTCTCATTTCAAGTGAACGAAGATACTTGCACTAGAAACTAGGCTGAAAATACTTGATAAGATTTTGTGTTTTTGCTGCCCAGAAGATAAAGTAATCCAGAAAGTCACTTGCAGTCAAGGCATTTCCCTCAACACTGGGAAATCAGCTTCAACAGTTACTTTGTTTCAGGTTTTCACTTAAATGTCTGAAAAAATATATGCCACAGTTAAGCGTCTCTTGAATGTCATTTGGTTGCAAAAGCAGACATACATCAGTTGTGTAAAGGATTTGGATTGCAAGGAGCTGGCATGTCTAGAATGGCACAGTTATAGTGTATGATAGTGTCATCGATTTTTACTATCGACTGTCACTTCTGCAATTTAATCTGTAACATTATATTAAATGGCAAAGTTTAGATGTGAATAAGTCAGAATCACATGGAAGTTAATGTGTGTGACTTTCATTTGATGATGTCATGTGTGTGGCTATAATTATCCAGATATCAGTTCCAGTTTCACTTCTGTGATTTTTTTACGAAAGGAACAACATGATAAAAATAGTGCCTCGACAAGCCTGCCTCTTCTTTCTCTATGTTATCCTTTATGTATGTGATAAATACTGAAAGACCCAAACACACATACAATATTTGCAAACATTGTAGCTCTTAAGATGATTGTGCAGGAAATTTCTAGGGACATTATTCATTTGATATTATATGAAAGGAACAACTGATTTAGGTTAAAATTGGAGAGAAACAATATTGCTGAACCTAAACCTTTGCATGTTATTTCTGAAATGTAGTGCTAACAGTTTGCTAGCACTGTGCTAGCATTACCAATACTTCAGAAAGTTAGAGGCGTAGCAGTCTCAAGGTATGATTTTGAAATTGTAAATGTATTTTATGGTTACATTATGTATTTGGTTAAACCACAATTAATACAAATTACCCAGGTGAAACAGAACTTTTCAGACTTTTCTGTTTACATTAGCACTATAGCAAAGCTGAATATCTTTGGATATTCAAGTTGAGTATTTAGCAGCTTAACATTCTGTTTTGAACAGTGCGGTATATTTAAATGTTATTCTTTTGTTATAAAAAAGAACAAACAAAAGAGTTGAACTCACCTCCTATTCCTGTTTTTGTACAAGCTAACATTAGCGAACTGCTACAGAAAATTTGAAAGAATTCAGCTAAGACTCAATTTAGCAGTTGCTTTTGAATATTATTGATCTGGTTCATGATTTGCTAACATTTGAAAGTTGTTGCTTTTTTTAACATAAATCTAGGAGACAATTTTTTCACTTGTGAATGTAAATGAAAGGCAGAAGCTTTTATGTGAACCGTGTGGGTTACTATAAATATCTCAATTTCAGTTCCAGTTTTAGTGCTCTTACTTTACCGCTGATGCTACCTCATCATATCTCATAAAAACTACATACCATTTTTACTTTACATATTTTGCTGCATTCATATTGGAACAAAAATAAAGCAAAAGCGTTTACACACCTAAAAAATAAATTCCTATTTTTCAAGATTACAGTGTCAATACATGACCGACTGCAACTAATAATGCAAAAGGAATTTAACATTTCATCACCTTTTCAGACTTTCTGTTCTTACCCTTCTGGGTTTGAATTGGTCACAAAACGTATGTTCTAAATATTCAAATACGCCTTAGAAAAAGTGAACTTTGGGTGAACAGCGTGTTTAACTTTCTACACACCTCTACAAATAGAATTCAAGATATCAGGAAATAAATCATGCATTTAGATTTATTTTTAACCTGCCCTGGTCAGTATATGTGAGAATGACCAATTGTGTGCATGTTGAAGATCGTCACGGCTGCAGCAGTGCAGTCGGCTGGTAATGTCCCAGGGTTTCAGTCAACAATAGAGGTCTATTAAACAGAGAAATAGATCTGGTAAGATAACACTTACCAGATCTTGTCAGACTAGCAGTGTGTCATTTTTTTAAATGAAAAGGGAAAGAATAAGGGGAAAAACGCCATCACTCCTCTACATTGTCAGTGTTGTGTACTGACTTAACTGAGTAAAATGTGTCTAACATCAAGGTTTAGGTAGATTGTGAGTTTTGAGAGACTTTGAAAATAAGAGGATGTCTGGAATTGAGAGGTCAAAAATATGGACATTGACATTCAGGAAGGTTTCAGGCACCCCTAGCCATGTCTGCATGGCTGAGGTTCAGGAAGAGCTTCAACATTCCTGGTTTGTTTTTTGCTCTGACGTCCTGTGCTGCCTGTTGCTTCCCGTCTCTTTCTCCCTCCTGTCCGGTCATTTCTGTTGCCAACTGACAAGAGCTGCAAAACAAGTCTCTATTGACCATACCTGAACTCTTTTTAAGCAGTTCAAAGCTGGTGCATTTAAGGTATAAGGTATAAAATTTCTTTATAGTGCAAAACAATTGGGAAAATTTACTGCATACTCTTTAAATTGGAGACAATGGGGCTGTCTTTGTGAAAATTGGCAATAGGATATGTACATTGATGTGAATTAATTTGACCTCACTCTCCTTTCCAGAACTGATTTGAGAATTTTAAAGAATGAACAGCGTGTTTAGGATCATGGCATGGTCCTAAACACTTCAGTTTAGTTTACAATCAATCTTGGGTTTTATTTTGCATCTGTTCTTGAATTTCTTTATGTTGAAGCATAATTTGCTGCTTTTTGAGATATTTTAGCCTACTTGATTTTGTCAGCTGGGTGTGACTGATGAAACTGAGCTAAGCTTTCCAAATAATGTAATTAATTAAAATTAATCTGTGATTCGAGACACAAGGGCAGAATTTATGTATAATGACAAAAAGAAAACACAAATCCTTTGTTTTCTAAAGATGCTATGACTAAATCTGATGTATAACGTCTTATCAAGAATCAGATGTAACAGAAAAGGGCTTGTGGATACAATTTGTCTGAGATTACATGCATATTTCACCATCACAGAGAATGGACTCATCTCTCTGTGGCGTTTTCTCATCAATCTTCCCTGTTTGTTCCTCCATGCCTGATAACAGATACAAGATGTTTTGCCCTTGAGTAAATAGACCGGCATGTTTGTTTACACCCATCTCGTGAGCCCTGAAGAATGCCCCTTTCATAACACCGCAAATATGCCAGGAAGTTAAATGTAGTCGAGTGGAAGAGAAAACAGGGGAGGAGACCGCTTTATGAGCTGTTTTTGGACAGGCTTTTTGGGGCCATGTGGTTTCTGTTACAAGCTACACCTAATGAGTTAAATGCTTGAATTTATTACGGTGGGAAATAGATGGATAATGACAGAACATAGTAATAAAAGTGTGTCATGTTTTCAATGTTGTTAAACCATGTTTTTTTTTTCCTTTTCTCTTAATTGAGTTTAAAAGAAACAGTCAATGGTGATTTTTCTAAGGCTAACTCACCAGCTTGTGTCTCAGACCACTTTGTAGCTGCCAGAAGATTGACTCCGAAATGACTGTTCTGCTTTAGACGTTTAAAGGCCTTACAGACATGTAGCTGGGTCTTTATAAAAGTGAATATCTCCACCACATTGGTTGGTTTAAGAAAAGTGTTCATCCACAAAACCCCACTGAATTACACTCCAGGATGTTGTCTTAAACATGCCAAACTTATTGGAAACAGTATGGTGCAAAGCTAAATCCTAGGTTAGCCAATCACAGTCCTTCCAAAAAATACGACTTCCTGTTAGGAGTGAATCGTGGTGCCAGGAGGTTCATTTGTGTGGTATGACGGAGGTCGAACTATCTTTAATAACCATTTTAGCATATAAAATGTATAAAATACAAGACAATGTGTTTTAGTGAAATAAAATGGAGTGTACGTGTGAATAAATGGCCAAATGGTTTCCCAGATATCCGTCTACATGTGAACAAGGCCTTAGTCTGAGTTATGCCATGGTAAAGAAGTCTAGCCTTATGATGAATCAATTGAACCCTTGTTTTTGTCTTTGTCTCCAGGTCCAGACGGATGTGTTCTGCAGCGATCTAAGTCTCAGAAGCGCACCACTCAACCTTCCTCAGGGAGTCCAAATGCTGGATCTTTCTCGAAACCAGGTTCAAAACCTCTCATTGGAAACTTTAGGCTTTCACACCGGCCTTCACCAACTGAACCTTCATTCCAACAAGATCCACTTCATCCAGCCTGGACTCTTCAAAGACATGAAGGATCTGAGAGTCCTGGATCTCTCCCGGAATCACCTGAATGTTTTCGCACTCTCCAAAATAAGCGTTGGACCTCTCGCGGCTGTGGAGTCATTGGATCTTTCAAGCAACGGGTTGTACACGGGTATGTCAGACTACTTCCTGGCTGAATCCCCATGTCTGGCAAACCTTTCACTGGACAGCAACAGCATCACAAAAATAGCACAGAACACCTTCAGTCGATCATCATCTTTGAGGAAAATTAGTCTCCACAACAACGTCATCCTGGAGATAGAAGATGGAGCTTTTGACTCTTTGGATCATCTAACTGAGCTCGATTTGTCTAAGAATTCAATCACCTGCATCATAGACTTCAATCTTTACAACTTGGAGGTCCTCAATCTCAGCAAGAACAGCATTGAGTTTTTCCAGAGTGTAAAGTCAGATCACTCCTTTAAGCTTCGCTCTCTGGATCTGAGTGAAAACAAAATGCTTTACTTCCCTCTCCTCCCAGAAAAGAATGTGCTTGAATTTCTGAACATTTCACGAAACCATATTCAGACTCTCAACACCTCAGGAAGTGTCCTGAACCTCACAAATTTGGATGATTTAAAATACCTGGACATGAGTTACAATAAACTCAAAAGTTTACCTGAGGTTTTCTTTTCCAATATGGAATCTCTTGAAGTCCTCAATGTCAGTAACAACTGTATCAGCTCGTTTTCTGTCACATCTAAAGACATTCTGCACAAGGTGAAGGTCATCAATTTAAGCCATAATTCTCTGCAGAGTTTGACTTTTGCAGAAAACTCCCTTCACTCCCTGAAAAAGCTCTTTTTACAGGGAAATGATCTTACTGTCCTAGACCAGCAAATATTTCAAAGATTGCCAAGCATCAAATACCTGCAGCTCCAGCAGAACAATCTGCAAATCTGTAACAATGAGCAAAACCAACATGGGTTAATGCTGAAGGACCAAAACCACCAAGATCCAACTGGTTGTGTGTCATTCTCATCTGTTAACAACCTGCACTTCCTGTACCTCTCTGAAAATAATCTGAGGACCATTCCTGCAAAAGCATTTGTGAACACCCCTCTGAAATTACTAGACTTGTCCCTAAATCCAGGATTAGACATGCACAAGGACTCCTTGTTTGGCTTGGAGGATTCACTAGTCCATCTGCTGCTGAGGGAAAACAACATGTCAAGCCTAAACACAGACCTGACCTCCCTGAAGAGCCTCAAACACGTTGACCTGTCCACCAACCAATTGAACACGTTACCGACTTGGAACAAAGACTCTGCCATCGAGTCATTGAACCTGCAGAACAACAACCTGGTCACCCTAGATCAATCCACCATCCTGGCCTTGGAGCGCTCCTTAAAGACCCTGTACATGGGCTCCAACCCTCTGAGCTGCTGCGACAACCTGGGCTTCCTCCACACGGTGCAGCACTCCACAATCGTTGTTCCTGACATTGAGACCGTGACTTGTGTTCACGAGGAGTCTCCGGAGCCGGTGAACATCGAGAAATTGACCCGAGAAATGTGTCACCAACCAGATGCCCCAAACTACACGGCGGTGGTCTTGATAACGTTGTTAGTTGTGATTATCCTGCTGGCGCTGCTGGTTAAATGTTTTCGATCAAGGAGACGGAAGCGCAGCAGAGGCTTTCATGCATAGCAAAAATAATCACATTCAGAGTCAAAATGTCACATTTAAATGTGAATGTGTAATCTGGAACTTTTCAGAGACTTTATGGACTATTTGAAGCTCTGGGTTTGGATTACAAGTACAAAGAGCCATCACGAGTTGACAAACACAGCTGACAATCAGGCACATCTCCTACAGGAAGTCGTGGTTGTGGAGTACAGCCTAAATAACAAAAAGACAAGCCAATGAAGGCCCTAGTTATTGTTATATTTTCTTACAACATAAGGCTGGACTTTTTGACTGAGTTTTATGTCAGTTTCATGCAGCTTTGTTTAAGGAACCCAAGGTTTCAACCCTCCTGTGCTCACTTCTTCAGGACTTTACACCACAGACCAGAAGCTGTCACCAGCACCAGTGCAGAGCTGTAAAGCCAATATTTTCATGGGTGTTGCGTGAACAAAGAAAAGTCATCTCTATGCCTGAAGCAGCAGTGTTAAATGATTATTTTTTGTAACGTGTTGCATTCCTGATATTTATTGAATGTAGAACCAACACTAAACCACTTTGAGTAGACAGTAGCATCAGGAGACCGGACTGAAGTACTCTTCTGCTGTCGCAAGTCATATTGTCAGAGACATGTTCCAAGGATCACAGATGTAAATTTATACCAGTCTGCTATCTATATGTGAAGTTTGTTGCAAAACTAAAACTTACTTTAAAACCTTCAGAAGCACCAAAAGGTTGGCTAAATACAGAAAATAATCTATAAAACCAAAGAAGTATAGGAGTACAAACCTTTAAATGTGTGAGTTGGTACTTATGATAAAAATATTGAAATTATCAACTCATAAATGCAGATTTTGGCACCATAAGGGACTTAGAGTAGTACTTATTTTGTAAAAGTGGCTTTCCCAGAACTTCTTTGGTTGAAATGGTCTCAAATTTCAGGCAAACCACTTTGTCATTGAGTCCCAAGTTTATAATTATGGACTGGCTATAAGGTATCAAAGTCTTAAAAACCTCTTAATCATGCCAATCTTATAGATTAAAGCAATTTCAATGAGTCACCAGAGATGTTACCCCTCCCCTACATGTTGCTGTGCAACAGGTGACTACTACATATTTGGTAGTGTTGAAATTTTCCCAGTTGTGTAAAACTGTGAATCATGGTGTGGGAGTCAAAGAATCCCTTTAATCTGAGTTAAGTTGTTGAAGGTCCTTCAGAGGACGGGTGTTGCTAATTAGCCATGGCTATAAATACTGTAATTCAGACATCAGATCGTTTTGATCTGTCTTTCTTATGTTGGTCCCTTCCAAATAAACGGTAAAATAAAATAAATTAGCCTGTTTCGCTGCAGTTAGCATGGCTAGACCGAGCAGATAGTCTGTTTAATTAACCAACTAACATTGGCTTGTGATACTTCGTTGTGCTTTAAAGAGTAGAAAAACTGGAAGGGACAATAATCTTCTAAAAAACGGTGGGGGGTTTATTTGAAAACAAGGTTTTCCACATTATTTAAACTTTCTCCTTAAGTGTACATAGCAAAATAAAAGACATAATGGATATTAGCAATAGATAACATTATCTGTTGCAAATGAAATCAGTTGAACAGTGTTGCACGTCTTTGTTTTGAATTATTTTGTGAATGTCGTCAAATCACACTATTTAAATTGGAGCTTATCACTCTGTCCAAAATCAGCCGCCAAGGGTTACTTGGGGACAGCTTTGATTGGGTGGAACATTTCAGAAAGCTTTATTTATGTATGTAAACACACCACCTGCAGAGATATAACCAGTAATGCCTCTAAGTTTGAGTCTTAGTTCTGGTCTTTTTGCAGATTAAAGTTGATCTTGGGTCTTCTTTAAATACAGATAATTGACTGGTATATATTTTCATCTAGTGAGTTTCAGAGCTTAAACAAAGTATCTGAGTTGATCTTTTGAGAGCTAAAACCGACTGATGGAGCTCTGTATTGAGACTGATTTCAGTGAAGAAAAAATGATTTGTTTTTTCAGCTAAAAGTGAAGAAAACACTTCTACACAAAACAAAATGCTCTTTAGTTTTACAGAAGGGTTACATGAAGGTGTTTTTCTAAAATGGCAATATATCCTCAGTGTAGTTTGCACTTTAATCTTGTATTTGTCTGGTTTTATCTTTTGTGATTGTAAACACTAAAACTATGGTTTATATTCCATCTATGAGTGACGTAATTTATTTTGTTAAATGTGTGACATAAGATTTTCTACAGCATGTTGTTTGTGTTGATGCCACACACCTGGTGCTCATGTTAATAAAAATATAAAAGTATGTTTTTGGATTCCTTTTTAACCAATAACATGGATAAATGTTAAACTATAGGGGACATTTATTCTGCACCCAGAATGCATAGCTATAGTCCTCTTGTAAATAAATTACAACCTGCTGATGTCCTGTGTGCTTTCTGATTGGAGCGCTGACCTGGTCAGTTTGGAAAATATCAGCAACACAGTTAGCAAAACTCCTGTAAAACAGAAACTATGAGTTTTTCAGAAGAATCACTTCCTGAAGCGCAAAACGTGAAGGTCGGTCTACAATGTTGACCTTGTTGAGCGGTACGCCATCAACACATGGTGTGTCTTTGACACATGGTGGGTCTCAAACCGGATGTGATTTAGCAGTTTAGCATTAGCTTTCATTGAATATCACATTTGTAAACCTGCTAGCCTTTTAGTTAGCGGTGCCCACCATTGCTAGTGAGCAGAACCACAACCTCAACCATTCTTTATCTTGATGAAATACAGTGACGGTTTTTGAAGGTTGACATTTTTCAATTGGAGACCAGACCAAGATGAGAACAAACATGTGAGCTCTGAGTGCTTCCAACCTGGCAACAACGACCCACAGTGAAAAATGTTTTGACACGAGCAGCTTAAACAAAATGATCGATTTTATTACCGACATGTTGGCTCCATTTTATGATCATCATTCTCTGAAGACGATTAATTAGAAAAAAAATGTAGATATAAAAAAAAGAAAAATAACTACAGATAAGGTAAATGTTTTGGAGACGTTTGGTTGTTCTGACAAAAATAGAAATTAAGGGGTTAAATGCAATTACCATAGTTACATTTGGGGGAGAAATGGGTGAGCCAATTTAACTGAAATATGTTAAAATGGCACATTTAAAATATGTTAAGACAATATGTTAACAAAACTGTTAACATATTTTACAATATGTATGTAAGTTTCATGTCACGGGGTTGTTTTGCTGCCGGAGAGTCAGGTGCACTTCATGGACGGCATCATGAGGAAAGAGCATCATGTAGGAAAATCCAAGCAACATTTGAAAACCTCAGCCGCAAATTTGAAGCTGGGATATAAATAGATGCATCTCTGCATCATCACACCTTATCGAGGAAATAATTCACTCATTCATTTCAAGTGTGCTGGACTCGATGGGTTTGTTGCTGATCTACAACAGCACACTGATACTGATACAAAGGTATGAATATGTTGTTATTATTATTATTATTATATTATCTCAAATGCTTTTGCAGGAAGCTGTCGATACTTTGGGAATTTAGTAACATATTACCTGCTGATGTTAATATAACATTCAAAACAGAGGTACTTTTTTAGCTGCCGGTTTCACTTTGCAGTGCTGCATTTGAGTGGCTTGTTTTAAATGGGAAAATTGTAAACTTACCACTGTGATGTTGCTCCGTATCAGTTTACAGAAGGTGATTTCCCTAGATTACAGTGACATTATGTGTTTGAATACATTACAGGCTTATGCGGAACATGGTTCATGCTAATTATGTCAGTATAACTTCCCCTGAATGGAAAGCTCTGCAAGTTACAAATTTGTCTGCATAATTCAGACCTACAATTACTGTTTCATTTTGTTTTCAGGTCTTTCAGATCCATCTTTTTATTGAAATGTGTTTTGTTTAAATACATTTGGAGTTTAGCATGTACCAATCAATTATTCCAAGAAATTTGCACATTCTGCATAGTTTGTATTTAAACACTTAAGCCTTTTTTATGCAATATTGGAAATACATTAAAATATGTAAATAAATAATTCCTTATCAACCAGATGTCTAAAATGCAATGATGGGAAAGGAAAGGAAAGGAAAGGAAACATCTTCAGTTAAACAAATATTTCATCTTGTGACAAGTTCAACCTTTTCTGATTATTTTTTGGATTGATTGAGTAATAATTGAATTGCAAAAGTTGTTTAATAGGAAATGTTTTTCAGAATCTGAACCATGTGAAGCTAAAAATGCCACTTTGAGGAGTTTCATTGAGAAAACACATTTTCACAAAGAAGGGCTTTTTTTCTCAGATGCAAAATGTTGCATGTAGAAAATGCACCAAATCTCCTACCAAAATCTTTAGTTTTGACTTATAACTGCTCTGATTATGTTGTTCTTTCAGCAAATTACCTTTTTTTGAATCTTAATACTCCAGTTAACGATAAATCGAATCCTAAGTTAGTTGACGGTTATTTCAAATAACCGTATCAAACCCAACCTGTAATGTCTGGAAACAATACAAAACCTTTAACCCCAAATGGAACAGATAACCTTTTTTTTTTTAGTAAATCAAACTTAATGGTTTAATGCTAAACCTACTGAGCTCTTTTTAATGTGACGTTTCTGCCCTGATGGCCTCCTTCTCTCCGTTTCACCTTTAAGAAATGAAAAAGCTCCGTCGTCCATGAGCAGCTTATCTGGACTGTCAAAACAAAAAGCTTTCACCGTCAGTGAGTCAGACCCTCCACCCGCTTCGCCTCCCAGGAGAAACTTACTGGACCTAATTTACAGTCCAGGGTGGTACCATCCTGTTTCACATCAGTGAAGGGAAAACGACTCTTAATCACTGTCAGGGCAAAGCGCTTCGTTAGGAAACTGGCTTTCATGTGAACAGAGACGCATGTTGGGTTTAATTTCCAGATGAGATGCGGTGATGCAGGCGGGACGTTTGATGATGGAATAACAGCATTTAAAATAGAATATTTAGCGACAAAACAGAAACACTGTCTGGTTGAACGTCTTTCTTCTTTCTTTGTGGAGCTTTGGGAAATACCAGCAGTAATCTGGATCTGTTTTATCTGGAATGTGGATCTGTCTAGACTGTGTTTACATGAGCAATAATGATCCCTCTTAGCAAACTCAATTAACAAACACAGGGAATTTTGTTGTGTTCATTCAGTTTCACACAGCAGTGCTACTCCTTTTTTTTTTTCAATTCACTATTGCGCAACCACAAAATAATTTCTAAGTGATGAGCTACAAGACGTGGGTTCACCGCTTGCTGGGAGCAGAAACCTCAGAGGTTTGCTGGTTCGTTGAGTTTGTGCTGCGGTGTGGCTGTCAGTCACTTACGCCGTTTTCATCTCGTCGCCGCAAAGTTTTTATACCAAAACCTCAAAAAGCAAACGAACAAAAATAGGCTCTCCCATGCCATCACACAGTCAGAGCTTGATTTTCCTCTTACAGGTGGATATAATAGGTATTTCTATGGGTGCAAATCGATGGCAGCTTAAAATGAACCTGGAAAATGTAGTGAGAGATTAAAATATTTGGTGGTTTCCTCAGAGCTCTTGTCCTGGTGGGCTAGGCTACAGTTTAAATGTATTTGTGTAGCACATTTCAAAGTGATAAAAACACAATACAGAAACCAATTCTAAAACATCAATCAACATCACATTTTGTCAAAATGTGATGACAGAGCAACTGAAAATGTAACAAACGTTGCAAATTTGGTCCCAAATCCAACCGACTGTACCAGACCAGAACACCGGTGTGAGGTTCTGGATCTGATCCGTTATGTTGATTTTTTAGGCAGATGCTGCTGCAGTAATCAATGCGACTAAAGATAAATCATGGATGAGTTTCTCTCATCATAAGTCCTGGAGATGTTCTTCAGGTGATGGAAGGCCGACTTTGTAACTGTCTTCATGTGGCTCTGAAGATTCAGGTCAAAGTTCATCACCACACCCAGATCTCATCCTGATTTCTGGTTTCCAGTTGTAATAACTGAAGCTGTGTGCTGACTGCAGATCCTTCCTGTTTAGGTCCAAAGATAAAAACTTCACTTTGTTTCTGTTCCCAGCTGGAGAAACTCACAGCACCTCCATGCATTGATCTGAAACTATATTGGGCTTCAATTATCCTTTATTAATTAGTGACATTTTGGTTGTTATGTATGCATGTAGTTTGTTGTGTTTTCTCGTCTCCCTCTTTCCCTTTATCGTTTTATCCAACATTCTTCCTCTCTTACGTTCTTTATTCCCTTTCTTTTCCATCTCTGTCAACAAGTCGGCTCCTAAGTTGCACAAATAATCGTCTCAACGCGTCAACAGAGACTAAATACATCCAAACAAACTGTAGAAACAAACAGGAAATTCTTTCCTTTTGGACTTTGTTCCCAATAAATGAGCTACTAGTGGGTCAAACTAGAATCTGGGTGTTCAGGACCGGGTCACAAACTCTGAATTATAACCACGTTTGTCCCAAACCAAGACTGCAGCAGGCGGACCAGATCGGAGAAACGAAAACAAAGTTCAGCTGGTGTTTTACCAGCTTCCACAGCTGTTCTGCTGCACTCAAAGGCATCATCTCCTTTCTTTCAAAGACGTCTTCCTGTTTACGCTAAATCCCACCACCTTTTTCCTTTTTCATATTAATTGTTTGTTGGATGAACAACGATAGAATCAGAGGAAGCGAATGGAAAATATTTGTGGTTCCCAAATTGGAAACAGACCGCAGTGACTTTTCCTCTCCCCTGTGAGCGGGCAGTGAGTCAGAACTAAACCTGGACCTCTGGTTTGGTCCTGCTGAGATCAGAAGAGCTGTGCTGTAAGAGGAAACGGGATCAAAGGAGACGCTGCTGACTCAGGCGCTGGCCGACCGTCGGAGTAGAAAGTGAGAAATGACGCCGAGCATCTGGGGAGCAAACGCTTCGATTTCCTTTTAAAGACATAAAAACGCATCTTCTCAGATATTCCAACGTTTCAAATGAACCTGAAAAAAATTCATTTTCTGCTGCAAGATGAAAATCTGTTGGTTATTTACTTCAAAAAATATTACAACAAAATGACAATTAATATAACTGAGTAGGTTTTAGACTTTAAGTAAAAAACTACTGATTTAATTAACTGAAATAAAACCGTTAAATAGATAAGGATGAAATCACTGGTTGAAATACGTTGGATTTACTAATAATATTACAAATGTTGATTCAATCCATCTATTGATTCTTTTTTATATATATTTTTTAAGCAAAAACTAATAAGTATTTACTAAATATAAAAAAATGTATTTAAATACCAAATGTAGGGTGGAATGAATTTACATTTACTGTTTATCTGGACAAAATATATTTTAGTTTATCAATTGC